TTGCACATATGCTTCCAGGTTGGCCTTGGGGACTGCCCCACCCTTGGAGACTTAACCCCTGGGTCATAACTTTGAAATGGTTAATATCCCCACCCCAAAACTATATATACAATTGTTGGGCATAAAGAGACGAATCCAGTCATGACATCAGAATTGATCCCAGGGTTTGCCCCACCCTTGCAGACTTGGCCCCTGGGTCATAACTTTGAAACGGTTGAGATCCCCACCCCAAAACTATATATACAAATGCTTGGCAAAAAGAGACAAATGCAGTCACGATATTAGAATCGATCCTGGGGTCTGGCCACAACTCTAGGGACCTAGTTTCTGGGTCAAAGCTTGGAAACAGTTGAGATCCCCACCCCATAATATAACCATACATAAAATTGCTGGGCATGAAAAATCTAATATAGCTATGCTACAAGGATTGGCCTTGGGGTCTGGCATATTCCCTTGATCTCATTTGGAGAATAGTTTGCCATGATTGCTTAGGTATCCAGGTGAGCGATACAGGCCCTCTGGGCCTCTTGTTTAATCTGACAATACTGTAGGCAGTGTTGCTGACAAAGAATTGAAACTAATATCATACAACCATGTGTATAAAGTTTGTTACTTGATGTGTTTGGAGATGGTCTGTAAAACATTGGCAGATTTGTTTCATCTTTTGATGATTGAATTTTATTTAAGCAACAACGCAGAGCACAGAAAGAGCGTCAGCAGAAAAAATCGGTGAAAGAACCAGAAGAAACAGACAACGAAGAAAAAAGACGCAAAAAGAGAGAAGAGGTATATAGATAAATGAAATATGACATTTTGACAAAATGTTTCTAGCCCTTGGACATGTTTTTTTTCTACATGATCTTGTTTTCCTTTTATTGAAAGTGTCTTTCATACATCATTCCCTCAATGAAAATTGGAAATCATTTTGTTGTCCAGGAATTCTTCAGTTCTAGAAATTTACATTTTTGATTTGTGTTCATAAATCAATGATGTGCATTGTATTTCATTGCAATTTTTTTTTTTTGGAATAAATTATCATTTCATTGCTATAAAATGTTTGTTTTAGAAAAATACACATTTAATTCATGACTTTGACATTCAATAATGATGCCCCCCCCCCCCTGGAAGTGTTTATGTACAGTCTCTTCATAACTACTTCACCGATTTAATAATGTTTTATTCAAACAGCAAGCAAGGAAAATCAAACAGCACTACAGAACGTCTAAGTCTCTCCAGGCTATACTTTTGAGGGAAAATTCGGTACTTGTTTGACATGGAATTGTTGCATTGCATGATAACTGATTTGTTAAACTTAAACAATTGTTGCATTGCATGATAACTGATTTGTTAAACTTAAACAAATTTTCATTTGAGAGGTTTTAGTTTGAATGCTGCATTAATCAATTCATCTCATTCTGGAAAACATTCATGTTAACAAATCACTAAACAAACAAATTTCACAAAATTAAAATGAAGGTGAACATGTTTGATGATTTTATTAAATTAGACTAGTTGTTATATCTAAATGTTAAAGAACAGTACAGAGCTACTTGAATCTAAGTTTTTGTTGGGTTACATGTAAAACTGATTATAAGGCTGTCCGTGTCAGAAATAGCTTATTATAGGAAGATTTAGTGTGAGATAGTGTCAATATCATATACAGCTTAGTATAGGTAGATTTAGTGTAAGAAAGTGTCATCATCATATATAGCTTAGTATAGGTGGATTTAGTATAAGAAAGTGTCAATATCATATACAGCTTAGTATAGGTAGATTTAGTGTAAGAAAGAGTCAATATCATATACAGCGTGTCAGAAATAGCTTATTATAGGAAGCTTTAGTGTGAGATAGTGACAATATCATATACAGCTTAGCATAGGTAGATTTAGTGTGAGACAGTGTTAATATCATATACAGCTTGGTATTGGTAGATTTAGGGTTGGATAGCGTCAATATCATATACAGCCTAATATAGGTAGATTTAGTGTATGAAAGTGTCAATATCATATACATCTTAGTCTAGGTAGGTTTAGTGTAAGAAAGTGTGAATATCATTACACAGCTTAGTATAGGTGGATTTAGTGTAAGAAAGCGTCAATATCATATACAGCCTAGTATAGGGAGATTTAGTGTAAGAAAGCGTCAATATCATATACAGCGTGTCAGAAATAGCTTATTATAGGAAGCTTTAGTGTGAGATAGTGTCAAAATCATATACAGCTTAGTTTAGGTAGATTTAGTGTAAGCAAGTGTCATCATCATATATAGCTTAGTATAGGTAGATTTAGTGTGAGAAAGTGTCAATATCACATACAGCTTAGTATAGGTGGTTTTAGTGTAAGAAAGTGTCAATATCATATACAGCCTAGTATAGGTGGATTTAGTGTAAGAAAGTGTCAATATCATTACACAGCTTAGTATAGGTGGATTTAGTGTAAGAAAGTGTCAATATCATTACACAGCTTAGTATAGGTGGATTTAGTGTAAGAAAGGGTCAATATCATATACAGCTTAGTATAGGTAGATTTAGTGTAAGAAAGTGTCAATACCATATACAGCTTAGTATAGGTAGATTTAGTGTGGGATATAAATAATGATAATAAGTGTTACATGTAATGCCATATTATACCGTAGCTTAGTAAAGGTAAAAATTAGTGTGGAATAGTATCAATTTTATAACTTAAAGTGTAAGTAAATTAGTGAGGGATAATGCCAGTGTTAGTTAAAATTAGTTTGGGATAGTGTTAATGTCATATACAGCTTAGTTAAGGTACTTCTTGTGAAAGATAATGTCAAGGTCATGTATATAGCTTAGTAATTTTTTAACTTTATATAAGTAATCTCTATGAATTTATCATATGTATAGGACAGTGTCAATATTAATCTGATATATATTTCAGTTCAAATATTTTGCACAAGTAATTGCACCCCTCACAAAAAAAACTACAAAAAAAAAAACATTTTAAGATTTACAAGATATAACTGCTTTCCTTCATGTCTGGTGACATACCATATCTTGCCTTGTAAGTACTTCAGCAGAGTCATCAACAGAAATGGTATTTGACAGATAATTTGGTGTGTTAATTTCTTGTAAGGAACATTACCAAAGATTTAGCTTTACATTGAAGGCTGTTCTCTGTGATAAATACAACAATTGATATGGTTTTATTTTGTGATTTCATGTTCAGTCTACATTTGTTTTAAAAAATATTTTCATTTCTCTTAAGTAGGTCTTGAAAACTGTTTTCCTTTCATATAAACTGTATTTGGATGATGTGATTTAGTTAAATATTGAATGACAATTGAGCTTTGATACGTTTGTTTTGCTTGTGTTTACTAACTTGATAGAGCTGTGATGTTAGACAGAGCTGGTTTTATGTTTTACTAATTCAATGTTAACATGATAATAAAAACTATTATAGCTAAACTAAAAATAGATACCAAACTAGAGTTTGATGAATCAGAAATTAGACTTACTCAGATGTATGAATGACAAAGCTATTTTCAAAGATTGGAAAACATAAAATATATGTGCTATTAACTGATATCAGCAAAGAATTAAACTACAAGTATAACACACATGTAGCGGAAATAACCTGTTTAGGTAGACAATACGAAGGAAGTAATACACATCTCATGATCACTGTTAATCAGTGAATACACCAATGTCATATTTTAAGGCTGCAAGAATGACCTGCAAAATCCTATGGGTTTGTTTTTTGCAATTTTTGCAAATATTTGATAAATCACATATTGTTATTTTTGCTTGACAGTGGCTCGACATTGCTGAAGTGTAAAATTTGTAGATCAGTTTAAATTCATATAAACAGTAAACTCATGTAAGATCCTACATTTCTAATAACTTAGTATTACCCGGGTAAATGCCTGTTAAGTGGATCTATGGACTGTTTGAACAATGGAAGGTCTTCATTACTGACAGTCCTTGTTTACTCGCGTCCAAGGTAACGCCTGAACATACTGTCACATACACACTCAGTGCCTAGGTCGGATAGGTCACTAATTACCAAACTTTTCAGTTCTAAAGGATATGTGGAATTAAAATGTGTGGATTAAAATTTTAATCTGCCCAGATTATGATTATCTATTGATATCGAGTGATTAAGTACAAACATGTGGCACAGCTGTTTATAGGGCTGTTACAACACACATGGTTAAAGAACATAGATATAGTTAAGAATATAGAATTATATAGTGTTTTCTGTTAAGCAACTGTAATGGTTACTTACCTTGAAATGTATTCCTCTGAGTGCATAAAGTAAAAAATAAATTTTCTGAATTACAATTAATTAATATTCAGGTTAATTGTCATATTTTTAGAGAATTTTACATTTATTTTGATTGAAATTTATGAGAAATGTGTATAACATATATGTATCAAGAGTATATAAATATGCAGCAGTTTGCTATAAATGACAATGACATTACAGGTAGACTGTTACAGTACATATATATTAGTCATAGAAACTGTACACTCGATGACGAGTCACAGGTTAATGCATTCATTAAGACCCATCTCTAATATTATTGGACTTCATAATTTATGATAATCTTCTAAACAGACATCACTTGAACAATGTCTGACATATACAGTGAAGTCCGAAAACAAGATACATGACAAAAACACATGGTATATGCACAGATCCTGTACTTGCACCGAGACAGAAGTAAATACATGTCAAATTTGATGATTGACTTATAATTATGACAGACAAACATAGAGGCAATTTAAGGCAGCTGCTAACGGTGCATTCAGGGTTCATGACAAACTGTGATAACTGAGCAATAAAGTATTGACAGAGACTTGACTGTTGAGGTAATATTATGTAAATGGAAAATAACAGACAATTTTGTTTGTAGCGGTACTCCCAGTTAATGGAGGAGCGACAGAGCTTGCCTGAAGGAAGCCAGTATTTCTCTAAGAAAGTGTCCCACATGATGACAAGACTGAATACACCCCGAGATTCCACACACCCCGGGGATCAGGAGGAGCTGGTAAGAATAACAACTTATTTTTAAGGTCTTAACAGGAACTCAGGATAGGATTACAACCTCTACCTTTAGGTCCTCTCCTATAGGATCTCAAACAAGTCACCTGTAGGACCGTAACTCACCTGTAGGACCGCAACTCACCTGTAGGACCGCAACTCACCTGGTGGACTGCAACTCACCTGTAGGACCGTAACTCACCTATAGGACCGTAACTCACTCACCTGTAGGACCGTAACTCACCTGTCGGACCGCAACTCACCTGTCGGACCGTAACTCACATGTAGGACCGTAACTCACCTGTAGGACTGCAACTCACCTGTAGGACCATAACTCACCTGTAGGACCGTAACTCACCTGTAGGACCGTAACTCACCTGCATGATCTCAACTCACCTGGTGGACTGCAACTCACCTGTAGGACCGTAACTCACCTGTAGGACCGTAACTTACCTGTAGAATCTCTATTAAATGTACTGATGTGTAACATTTTTCACCTTGTGTTGGATTTGCTGATTTGTTGAATCCCTGTGTCACAGTATTTTATTTGTGGAGAAAGCATTATAGCTTATTGCACTCCTAAAAATAAATAAATTTGATTGCATGTGAACCTGCTGAATATATAGCAATACATTGTACCACATTAGTCTATATCTAAAGTTGAAGATTGTTCAATATATTTGTAAATCATCCACAAGTACATGTGTTGTTCTTGACATATAAAACTGGTTATGATTTCTCCAAAGTATTGCTCGTGAATGTAGAAGATTACTGGTAATAGTCTGATTTCCACTTATAATATCAGAAAACTGAACCTAGTGTATGATATCTTTAGTTGCAAATTTCATTAGACTCACAACCATCTAGACCATGTTATATTATAAGTGTCATGGTGAATGATATCTTGTTTTACAGCAGAAGCCAGAGAGACAGACGTTGAAAAAGAAAACAGAGAAACATGTTTTAACCTCAAACAGCAGCTTCCTCAAGGACATGCCAAAGTCTGATGTTGCAAAGGTAGGCATGCCACTGACCGCTCAATCAGGTCGGTCACTGAGCTTGACTCCAGTAGTGTGTGGTGGAACTAGACTGAGTTGATCGTTATAAGATGGTGGTCTCTTTTCAAAAAGTAACTGAATATCTGCTCGCGACTATGTACAGCATGTTTAGGAAAATAGACAGGAAATACATACCAGGTAACTGTATGTAGTATGAAAAATGTTTTGTTACAAAACATGAAATTAACCCTGTATCAATATATATACCAAATTAAGTAATTTTTAAGTCAGTGACCACCTTTTGTGGATAAAGAGAATAATTCAACAGTGTGATTTACTTTTCAGGTTGTTGAGCTACAAGACAAGTTGATGAAGGAAGGAAAACTAAAAACACAATATGACATTGACAGATTCAGAGAAGATATAAAGAAGCCAGAAGTCTTCAATTCATATTTCAAAAATACAAAAACTTCTGGTGAGTTTTGAGTTTTTAGCTTATCATCATCAGATTTTTCCAAAATGTCACATAGTTTCTGTGTGATAACGCTTTTGAAGGAATTGTTTGATTTTCGAGAAACTTTCTACACATGTACTGTATCAATAAACCGCTCAAGTTTCATTTAAACCCAAATCTGAAAATCAACATTGCTGTGGAATCTTGTCTTTATAAGGACACAGGACACTGTGAACATAGAGTTTGTCTCCCACCAAATAATTTGACCCATGTAATACCATATTGTGACACCACAATAAAGAAATGTTAAGGCTGGTGTGACATCATATTTGACAATGCTCATTGTTTATTTTTCATACTTTTCATTTCTCTGCGGCTTGTTGATTTAGTGTGAATTTACAAACTTTTTATTTTTCAATGAAGAAAAAAAATCAATTTCTGTTTTACCTGAAACTTCATATTTCACTGGTAAAACTGTATAAATAGATTTGACAAGTTTATTTAACCTCTGTACATATAATTGTACATAAAAAGAAAAGTAAATTCTATCTTTTATTGGTATAATCTGGGATTTCCTTAACAACTTGACAAGGTTTATAAAATGGGAAGGGTTTGTTTAATTTCTATTGTTAGATATCAAAAGTGAATTCTTATAATTACAAAGTACATGTATAAGTAAATACATAAGTATTTTGCTTGTCATTTACTAGATACAGGGTCTGTAGCAGCCAGTACTGTCACAAGTTTACACAAACCTGCACCCCCCAATCCTCGTTCCCTCAGTCATATCGCAGAAGCATCCCGACCGCCCACGAGAGAGGAATGGGCCGTTACTCACCAGTTTGCAGCCAAACATGATGAGGTATGTTACCTCTACTATGACCTTTCCAATATTTGTCTGTAATAACCACTGAATACTGTGAAGCAAGCTAGGGAAGGCGTGTCCCCACTTACTTTCTACCATGAGCAGGAAGTCAAATTTAACAGGATACAAACCAGAACTGTAAGCTAAAGGCTTACTAATGCAAAGCAATATGGTTTCCCACCAGTAATGATTTCTTTATTGGCTGAGCTGTACACTGATTTAAGTATATAGGTCACTCACATACTTCCTGTATGTACTCCCTCTCAATGCCAAAACATACATGAAAACCAAAACTTGTTAGCCCATCTGAACAAGTTTTGCTGAAAGATGTAATGCAGATATCTCCTCCAATATAAAGATGTAATACAGATATCTACTCCAATTCTAGGGACCAGCTTGATAAGCTCTCCACTGTATGTATAACCAAGAGGTTTGGGGCCCATATTTTTGCTTATCTAAATACAAAAGTATTTTGCACAAAGGGGCATAACTCCAACGAAATCCCAAATTAAAATGTTGGTACACAACTACATGAGATACTGATCATTCATGCAAAGTTTCAATGAAATCCACCTGTTACTTAAGGAGGAGTTGCACGGACAAGTATTTCGCACAAAGGGGCATAACTCCATCAAAAAGGGTTGAAATCCCAAATTAAAATGCCGGTGCACAACTACATAAAATATCAATCATTCATGCAAAGTTTCAATAAAATCCACCTGTTAGTTAAGGAGGAGTTGTGCGGACAAGTATTTCGCAAAAAGGGGCATAACTCCATCAAAAACGGTCGAAATCCCAAATTAAAATCCCGGTGCACAACTACATAAGATACTAATCATTAGTTTTGAAATTCATGTAATTAGTAATAATCTATAAATCCTGTGAATAATGCTTATACATTTAATTTTTCAGCAGACAAAAGTGGGAGCTTCTAAAAAACAAACAATGTTAGACCTAGAAAAGCGCTTCCCTAAGGTAATCTGTTTTTATGATTATGCTATTCTGGAAACATTCTTAATTTTTCTATTTCTTTTGATTTTAAAAAGACTGTCTTATTGAAAGAATTTTGAAATTTTTCACAAAATATGTTTTAAAATATCTTTTCCATTTTGTTTGATGAACAGCTTTCTTTTCTATGGATATTTATTGTTGGAGTCGAGACTGAAGTAGGAACTGGACAAAGTATACATTTACTTGCTTCTAAAACAGTAACATTGAATATATTTGTGTCATAATTTATTTGAATATCATTTTCTTACAGCCACTGATGCCACCACTTAGGTGTTTCTCAATGGATCTTGGGGAGAAACCTGCTGACCCAGAGGAGGTCAGTCTGTACTCTATTTAACACCAAACAAACATAACCGCTCTAATTATCTGGAAGATTATTGAAACAAGTCTCTTCCCATTATAATAGTTAATGTAAAATTATATAGTGATGTTTCAACTTAAGGATTTACTTAAAGCTACAGCAGTATCAATCATTTTTGGCTAGGAAATTATCAGTTCAGTTTTTGACTGTTTTGACAGTTTTTTTTATTGATAATTGAATAATTAAAAATGGTTTCTGTGAAGTTTTTGTGTGGCAAAACTACAATATAAAGTAATTTTCAAATAAATTTTCAGATACAAAGACAGGCTGAACTGAAGGTGCGAATCAAACAGAGAAAGAAGTTTCTTCGCAAGTTACATCGAATGCACCAAATGGCTATGGCCCATGGTGCTGCAGCTAATAGGTAAAGTAGCACCAAGTAACCTCATAACTGTTTACAGCAGAAACTAGCTGTGGTTTGTGAGGAACTAGCAGCTGTGAGGTCTAGACCTGTGGTCAATGTTTACTCTATACACCAGCTTGGGTTAGCTGTGAAGTCTAGGACCTGTATATATGGACAGTGCTTTATAGCTGTGAAGTCTAGGACCTGTATATATGGACAGTGCTTTAAAGCTGTGAAGTCTAGGATCTGTATATATGGACAGTGCTTTATAGCTGTGAAGTCTAGGACCTGTATATATGGACAGTGCGTTATAGCTGTGAAGTCCAGGACCTATATATATGGACAGTGCTTTATAGCTGTGAAGTCTAAGACCTATATATATGGACAGTGCTTTATAGCTGTGAAGTCTAGGACCTGTATATATGGGCAGTGGTTTATAGCTGTGAAGTCTAGGACCTATATATATATGGAGAGTGCTTTATAGCTGTGAAGTCTAGGACCTATATATATGGACAGTGCTTTATAGCTGTGAAGTCTAGGACCTATATATATGGACAGTGCTTTATAGCTGTGAAGTCTAGGACCTATATATATGGACAGTGCTTTATAGCTGTGAAGTCTAGGACCTATATATATGGACAGTGCTTTATAGCTGTGAAGTCTAGGACCTATATATATGGACAGTGCTTTATAGCTGTGAAGTCTAGGACCTATATATATGGACAGTGCTTTATAGCTGTGAAGTCTAGGACCTATATATATGGACAGTGCTTTATAGCTGTGAAGTCTAGGACCTATATATATGGACAGTGCTTTATAGCTGTGAAGTCTAGGACCTATATATATGGACAGTGCTTTATAGCTGTGAAGTCTAGGACCTATATATATGGACAGTGCTTTATAGCTGTGAAGTCTAGGACCTATATATATGGACAGTGCTTTATAGCTGTGAAGTCTAGGACCTATATATATGGACAGTGCTTTATAGCTGTGAAGTCTAGGACCTATATATGTGGACAGTGCTTTATAGCTGTGAAGTCTAGGACCTATATATATGGACAGTGCTTTATAGCTGTGAAGTCTAGGACCTATATATATGGACAGTGCTTTATAGCTGTGAAGTCTAGGACCTATATATATGGACAGTGCTTTATAGCTGTGAAGTCTAGGACCTATATATATGGACAGTGCTTTATAGCTGTGAAGTCTAGGACCTATATATATGGACAGTGCTTTATAGCTGTGAAGTCTAGGACCTATATATATGGACAGTGCTTTATAGCTGTGAAGTCTAGGACCTATATATATGGACAGTGCTTTATAGCTGTGAAGTCTAGGACCTATATATATGGACAGTGCTTTATAGCTGTGAAGTCTAGGACCTATATATATGGACAGTGCTTTATAGCTGTGAAGTCTAGGACCTATATATATGGACATTCCTTTATAGCTGTGAAGTCTAGGAACTATATATGGACAGTGCTTTATAGCTATGAAGTCTAGGACCTATATATGGACAGTGCTTTATAGCTGTGAAGTCTAGGACCTGTATATATGGACAGTGCTTTATAGCTGTGAAGTCTAGGACCTATATATATGGACAGTGCTTTATAGCTGTGAAGTCTAGGACCTATATATGGACAGTGCTTTAACTTGAGTGTACTTGTACAGGTTTTGCTGACTGGGGAATACTTGAAAGATTTTAGCATTAATATCAAGCACAGTGAAAACATTCACTTTTGTTTGAAGTTTCCATATGCATATAACAACAGCTAGGCCAGCTTTAAACATAACCATTCTACCTTCACATTTTTTATAAATGTTCAGTTTTTTAATGGTTATTTATAATTCTGGATTTGTATAATTATGCAGAATATTGGATAATCATGAAGAGATCGGTGGTATATTGGATGGAAATTCACTGCGGGATGTGGTGAGTATAAAAAGGTGTTACCATAACATCAACATGTATACAATGAATGTAGAAATCTTTATGCTTTTACTGTTGCTCGTCTGTGTTAAAACTGTATTGGGCATGCATTACCTTTTTATATTGCATTTATCAGAAATATTGAAATGTCGTAGTAGTGCCATGCATGTGTATGTATTTTGTATAAATTTCATACTTGGCATTATTTGTAAAATATCAGCAAAACTTGTTTGATATCAGATGTATTCAGGATAGCATGATTATCACATCAACTATTTCCATTACAACGATAACATGAAATACAAATCCTGATGGTTTTACTGTCGGACAATAATCTCTTTTATGTCGACACAGAAATGAAAATAAATCTGTATATTTATGTAAACAAGTCAAGGTATAAACAGACGCACTTAAAATAATATCATTTTATTTTACAGTTTCTACCATCTATTTATAATGTAAGAATTATATTTCTCTTTGTGGCCCATCTAAAACCCAATACTTCCTTCATGAAATTTTAGGTGATTAAAGGAATTCCCGACTCTCCTGCCAACCTTTGTCAAATTTTGATATTTAAGAGTGAGAAAAATATCAATATATTGACCTTTGGCATTTATTTGACCCCTGTCAAACATTCTGTAGTGTTTATGATGTTTTTATGACCTTCCATTCCTCATGGAAGTGACTTTTCACTATACCCTGCCTTCCAACCATGAAGTTTCCATGATTTCTCCATACCCTGCCTTCCAACCATGAAGTTTCCATGATTTCTCCATACCCTTCCTTCCAACCATGAAGTTTCCATGATTTCCCCATAACCTTCCTTCTCTCCATTATTTCCTCCATACCCTTCTTTCTATTCATGAAGTATCCATGATTTCCTCCATACCCTTCCTTCTCTCCATGAAGTATCCATGATAACCTCCATACCCTTCCATCTATCCATGAAGTATCCATAATTTCTCCATACCCTTCCTTCTCTCCATGAAGTATCCATGATTTCCTCCATACCCTTCCAACTATCCATGATTTCTCCATACCCTTCCTTCTCTCCATGAAGTATCCATGATTTCTCCATACCCTTCCTTCTCTCCATGAAGTATCCATGATTTCTCCATACCCTTCCTTCTCTCCATGAAGTATCCATGATTTCTCCATACCCTTCCTTCTCTCCATGAAGTATCCATGATTTCTCCATACCCTTCCTTCTCTCCATGAAGTATCCATGATTTCTCCATACCCTTCCTTCTCTCCATGAAGTATCCATGATTTCTCCATACCCTTCCTTCTCTCCATGAAGTATCCATGATTTCTCCATACCCTTCCTTCTCTCCATGAAGTATCCATGATTTCTCCATACCCTTCCTTCTCTCCATGAAGTATCCATGATTTCTCCATACCCTTCCTTCTCTCCATGAAGTATCCATGATTTCTCCATACCCTTCCTTCTCTCCATGAAGTATCCATGATTTCTCCATACCCTTCCTTCTCTCCATGAAGTATCCATGATTTCTCCATACCCTTCCTTCTCTCCATGAAGTATCCATGATTTCTCCATACCCTTCCTTCTCTCCATGAAGTATCCATGGTTTCCTCCATACCCTTCTATCTATCCATGAAGTATCCATGATTTCCTCCATACCCTTCCTTCTATCCATGAAGTATCCATGGTTTCCTTCATACCCTTCCATCTATCCATGAAGTATCCATGATTTCCTCCATACCCTTCCTTCTATCCATGAAGTATCCATGATTTCCTTCATACCCTTCCATCTATTCATGAAGTATCCATGATTTCCTCCATACCCTTCCTTCTCTCCATGAAGTATCCATGGTTTCTCCATACCCTTTCTTCTCTCCATGAAGTATCCATGATTTCCTCCATACCCTTACATCTATGCATGAAGTTTCCATAGTTTCCTCCATACCCTTCCTTCTCTCCATGTGGTATCCATGATTTCTACATGCCCTTCCTTCTCTCCATGAAGTATCCATGATTTCCTCCATAACCTTCCAACTATTCATGAAGTATCCATGATTTCCTCCATACCCTTCCTTCTATCCATGAAGTATCTGTAATTCCTCCATACCCTTACATCTATGCATTAAGTTTCCATAGTTTCCTCCATACCCTTCCTTCTCTCCATGTGGTATCCATGATTTCTACATGCCCTTCCTTCTCTCCATGAAGTATCCATGATTTCTCCAAACCCTTCCTTCTATGCATTAAGTTTCCATGATTCCTCCATACCCTCTCTTCTATGCATGAAGTATCCGTAATTTCTCCATACCCTTCCTTCTCTCCATGATTTCTCCAGACCCTTATTTCCATCCATCCATGAAGTTTCCGTGATTTCTCCAGACCCTTTCTTTCATCCATGAAGTTTCTGTGATTTCTCCAGACCCTTCCATCCATCCATGAAGTTTCGGTGATTTCTCCAGACCCTTCCATCCATCCATCATTGGATTCCTTTGCAGCTGATTTTATAGTGTCAAACCTCCTTTTTTATATCCACATCCCAATTGCTTTCAACATATGTTGTGACATTTTGAGTTTGTTTGGTATAGTCCCATGTAATGTGTAAATGATTCAGTTTTAAGTCCTTTGTGATGTTTTATTGAACCTGCATGAGAACCCCTTGTGTGCTTTTGACATTTTAGTAGTTCTGCTAGAGAAGTCCCTTGTGACGTTTTAGTGGTTCAGCCAAAGAAAACCCTTGTGATGTTTAAGAAAACCCTTGTAACGATTTAGTGATTCTGTTTTCAGGCGTCCATGTATAGTGGGATGCAGAACCTTGTATGTTTACCCTCTCTATATGTTGTGATGTGTATCCTTGTGTTAAAAACTAACTCAATTGTATGCATACTGTTTTTGAAATGCACTTGTAAGCTTTTTTGACTTTGGATACACCAGCACAAAGAAACATGTGAATGGTTGATATATAGCAGAATCATTCTCACATACATGATTCCACAGAGATTTATTTATTTATTTTTTATATTTCCAATTCAACAGACCCAAGGGTCCACTAACAGAATGGATAACATGTCAGTTATGCATGTAACACAGACTAAAAGATACTCATATGTAAAACAAAAGGAATTAGTGATAGCAAATATTCTTTAACCGTACTTTGAACTCTGCTAATTCTACAAAGTTTTATGTACAGATCTTGCAGTTCTTAATCGATAGCTTGTCCAAGCTAGACTTCGTTAACTGTTACATTTAATTGTGTAATACCCGAGATCAAGCAAACAGTTTTACTTTAATAGTAACTATGCAACACAAATTTCCCTATCCTTCATAGGCAGTTATATGTTCTTCCATATGTTTTTAAAACAGGATAAAATAATTTTGAATAAAAAGAATGATTTCATTCCATGTCACTTCGGTATAATTGTACCTCATCTGATTAAGAAATCATTCAATGTTAAAATAATGACCTAGGTCCTTGTTTTACCCCCTCACAAGTGATATTATGATACATTGTCAGCTATATACATGTGTGTTCTGATCATCATTGCCTATATGTCTATGAGTCAGCGTGTGCTGTGTATATCCAACACCTACCCACTGCAATATTAATGTAGCACATGCGACACTATGCTGAAAGCCTTGCCGCTGCAATAAAAACTACTTCAAAGATTCATGTATACCGTTGCATGTAACTTGCATGCCCAATGTATACCAAGGGATTTGCGTTTGATGTGATGCAATACATATGTACCCTTTGCTTATGTGAAAAGCCTTGTTTTCTATACCTTACACCCTAGACATGCTAGGACACTGACAACTAATTAGAGGCAAATCAAGTTAAAACGTACAAGTGCTATTCCTAGGCACCAACATAATCCAGAGAGAACTATTGGGTTTTCTGGTCAGTTTCATTTTATGATGTTTAGAATGCTCATTGCTTTTAATTTGTAATAGTGTTGTATTGATCGAAAATATCATAAAATGGTCTCACAATTATGACAATCTCTGTGACAGTGGAAGTGTTTTGTAACGTATTGAATACCTAATTTTCATGTTTATGAAAATTCACTGCACCAAAAATAATCGAACTGTAAAGTTACAACATGATGATTGTGAGACACCAGAGCCAATATTTTACAATAGTCAGATGATTACAACGAGACTAGAGCGGAGATAGGATAACTATACTATATAAATAAAAATGACTTAATTTTGGATTTTTTTTCTCACTTTCTTCCGTCTTCTGTTGGGATTTCAATTTCATGAGAATTGCAATTGACTCTTTGCACATTATAGCAGAAATATATCATTACATATAAGTAATTTACAGTATTAGATAAACCTTAGTTGTTTTAAAAATCCTACAGTAGGTATTCTTTAGCTTACATGTTGTATGGTGTTCTTGTCCATGTAGATATCTATGCTGCCCGCCCCAGAGGACAAGTACATCTCCCGCCAGGACGTAGAGGTGGCAGAGATTGGTGGTCAGTTGATGCAGGATGATCATAGTCGAGGATCATCCAGCCACGGCAGTATCCACTCACGGACCTCTCTACAGTCCAGGAGTAGCCTCCAGTCCCGCGGGAGTCTGCAGTCTAGAGGAAGCAAGGCCAGCGGTGCACCAGGTCTTCGCAGGTAACTAATGTAAAACAGGTTCTGTTGTAGGTTATGTACATGGCTGAAGTTTGCCAGGATTTTTTGTGGGTATAGATTTAGTGGAATAAAATGTTAGGAGTAGACTTTATAATCTGTATCTATGAATTAGTTACAAGAATTTTTTGATCGGCTTTTACAAGTTTGACATTGATGGTTTCATTGTTTGTTGGTCTTTTTGGGAGCACTTCATAATTAGGGCCCCGTATCGGAGATAGGGGTGCCCTATAGTAATCACTGTCTGTCTGTCTGTCCGTCCACAAATTTTGTTCCTGGCTGATAACTTTGGTATTTATTGACCGATGTACATGAAACTTGGTCAAGATGTTCAGTTCACAAAAATACACATTGCAGTAAAAAGTCAAGGTTAAAGGTCAAGGTCATAAGGTTCAAAGGTCAAGGTCAAATTTTACATCTTTTCACTGATAACATTTTGTTATGACGTTATGAAGCAAAGTTGATTAGAATTAAACAAGGAGTCAACTGATTAAAGGTCAAGGTCATCGGTCAAGTTCAAATGTTGTAGCTTTTCACTGGTGAACATTTCGCTATGACATTATGAAGCAAAGTTGTTCGGAATTAAACAAAGAAGCACACTGAGGTAAAAAGTTGAGGTAAAAGGTTAAGGTCATTAGATTCAAAGGTCAAGGTCAAATTTTGCATATTTTCACTGATGAACATTTTATGACATGATGAGGCAAAGTTGATCAGAATTAAACAAGTAGTCAACTGACTTAAGGTCATTGGGTCAAAGGTCAAGGTTAAATTTTGTTTCTTTTCACTGGTGAACATTTTGCTATGACACTTTGAAGCAATGTTGCTCAGAATTAAACAAGGAGTCAATTGACCAAAGGTCAAGGTCACTGGGTCAAAGGTGAAGATTAAATTTTGTACCTTTTCCCTGATGAACATTTTGTTATGACATTATGATGCAATGTTGTTCAGAACTTAACACAGAGTCAACTGACCTTAGGTCCAGGTTATGGGGTCCAGGTCAAGTTTTGTATTTTTCACTGAAGAACATTTTGTTATGATATTAAGAAGCAAAGTTGGTCGGAATTAAAGAATAAGTCAACTGACCAAAGATCAGGGTCACTGGGTTAATGGTCAATGTCATTTGGGTCCAAAGGTCAGACAAAGTGGATCTCGGACTTTGACCCGGGCCTGGCTCTTGATGGAGGAGGTATTTAATGTGAAATAAAACAAATCAAAGCTAACAAATGAGTATTGCACCGGTATTTACATTTCTGTTAGCCCAGCAAATATGGAGGTGGTAGGAAACAAGACTCACATCATAGTACATGTAAAATGTATATTTTGCTTCCTTGCGATTCTTTTTGAAGTCCAAATGTCAAATGTCTAGCTCAGCTATATGGGCAGATTGCTTCTTGATGATTATGGGAGATATATTGCCACAAGACGGGGCCCTTATTGACCTGTCAGTGTTCTAGTTATATTACAGTCTGTACAGAACCAATTTTCTTTTTTATAGAAAACAAATGTTACAGTCTAGAGAATCAGGTCGTCCCAAACCAGCACCACTGCCCCTTACCATGGATGAAATCAGAGGCAAGACAAAAATCATTGTAAGTACAATGTAGCATGTTGATTAATTGTAAATATGTTTTAATGAGTCTGCCAGTGTAATGTGTTGGTTTATAGCCATGCACGTCTTTCCAAACCAATTTTAAATTCCATGGTAGGTAAAATGTCTACTCCAAAAAAAATTTAATGTGTTATTATATAATTGATAATAATAATATAGTCTTTAATGAATTTAAATTGATTTTTTTTTGCTTCTGTTTCCAGGAGGCAAAATGTCTGAGTAGCAACTGGATGAATTATATGAAAGCTGACAAGAAGATTGAGACATCATAGATACCAACAATCACTCATTTTGAAACAAGATACACAGATGTGTTTAGATTATGAACATGAATCTCTATGAGTAGAACACTTTTGCCATAATGTTTTTTTCAAAACCAAAGTTTTTAGTTTAATGTCAAAACCATTATTGATATTCTGGACAGAACAATCTGTCTGAAATGTGTTAAAAAGTTAACTTTCAGATGATGATTACAAAGTTAATTTGTTAAGATGGCACCTATTCTAGTCTTTATGTGATTGGCTCAGAGAAAGCTGTATGGTTTGTGGTTGTTAACAGTCTAGATGTTAACACTGGTGTCTTTGTATATAAATGATAATCATGCACAAATGTGGAGAGAAAGTGATGTAGGGTATGCGAGAGAGGTATGATTTGGTGCACAAGTACATTTCTATTAGCACATTGATGTGGTTGTTCCATGTTCACATTCAGCTATATGTCTTACCATGTAATGTCAGTTTATTATCATGATGTAGATTTTATGTCATATTTTGAATATTATTAATAAAATTATTATAAAGCTTGTATTTTTCCTTTTTTTTTCAAGCACTGTCACTTAAAAAACGTTACTAACAGTGAACACTTTAGGATACCTTAGTAAAAGCATCAGTTATTAAACACATCAGTCTGTAAAATATTTTGCTGTCAGTTTAAACATTCAGTAAAAGATATGCATCAGTAAAATACTTAACACATTTATCAAATGTTTTAAGTTGGTGAGGTTATAGTGTTTGATCAAATATGAATTTTGTGGATCCAGCTCTAATTTTACAATTTCTTTGTAAATGACATATGTATTACTTTTCTGTCCTAAAAAGCTATGATATAGGCAAACATTAATTATAATTATATATTAAAGACTGACAAACAACATTGATTTTCTATAACCTGTATATTCTCAAAAAACCTGTAAAAGCATAATTTTAGTACATAATGAATGATGACATTTATAACAGTAACTTATAAATCAAATTCACAATTCTTACACAGATTAAATAATTAAAACTTAACAATAACAAATTGCTTCCTTCTAAATTAACAATTAGAGTTTCTTTAACAGCTCTTCTGACTTGCATATAACCAAAGATGTCTGGTCCATTCAGTGTATAACTATAGCTATGCAGATAGTCTGCCAATGAACCATAATTCTACTGGACTCGTGTGTATTGGATTGGGAATATTGATATAGAGGTGATGAATCTACTCCTCCAGACTTTTCCCTCGACTCCGTGTTCCCAATCTCTCCATCCTCGCCAAGATCTGGCTGTAGGTGTTATTCATCTGTAAAAAGAAAACAATCCTTTTTTGTTAGTCACTTTGATTGCTTACTGCCACTATTATACTTTTAAGAACAATATACATTACAATTACTGAATGGTGATAAAAATCAACACACACACACAGACATATGTTAGAAGAAATCCATACATATTTTTGGATTTGAGAATTGACTTTTAATTTTTTTAAATATCACTTTGTCAAAATAAGATTTGATTTCTATAGGCGCCTCTTCAACAGCCTATCACCAAAACTGACTTTATACACGGTGTCAAGGTACTTGTAAGTTTTAGACTGTTTGAGGTACTTACATGGTCCTCATAGTTTTCCTTCATGGTGTCAAGGTACTTGTTAGTTTTGGACTGTTTAAGGTACTTACATGGTCCTTGTAGTTGTCCCTCATGGTGTCAAGGTACTTGTAAGTTTTGGACTGTTTGAGGTACTTGAATGGTCCTCGTAGTTGTCCCTCATGGTGTCAAGGTACTTGTTAGTTTTGGACTGTTTAAGGTACTTACATGGACCTCGTAGTTGTCCCTCATGGTGTCAAGGTACTTGTAAGTTTTAGACTGTTTGAGGTACTTACATGGTCCTCTTAGTTGTCCCTCATGGTGTCAAGGTACTTGCTAGTTTTGGACTGTTTAAGGTCCTTACATGGTCCTCGTAGTTGTCCCTCATGGTGTCAAGGTACTTGAGAAGTTTAAGACTGGTGCTACACCACCTCTCAGCTTCGTCACATCGCCCTGAACTGTCAATGATTACCAGAAAAGTACTTAAAGAAAGACTTAATATACACTTTCCTACTTTGTAGGTCCTCAATGCAGTGTATTATTGAAACTTCCATACTGAACAGACGCAGTCTATGTGATCATCAGATAACATTGATTAAACCAAATTCAGTGCATGGACGGTATGGAAGGAATTCAGGTAAATCATTCACATCTTCACATTTATGTTATGCTTCCATTAACTCATTCACCCCTACATATTTCAACTGGACTTAATCCTAGTCTATGATTTGGTAAGGTTAAAATGTGACTTTAGGGGTGAATGGGTTAATCACTGACACTAAAACATACTGGTTTGTCTATTACCTGATAGTTTTATAATCTACATGTAAGATATATAGTAAGTTACATCCAGAGGTCAGACATCTGGGTTATCCGATGGTGCTTAATACTGAGACTGAGTGTTATTTCAGATCTCATGTTTCACACTTCCTAAATGAGGCTAGTGTGAACTAGTTATTCAGAAGATAACTAATACATGCATGACCCCCATACCATAATATTTACTGCTTACAAAGTCTATTCTAATTAAAAGTTTGAAGATGTGTTGATGCAGTAATTACTTGATGTCAGAGAGGGCTGCATAAAATTCAATGACACTTATTCAAAATGAAGGAAAATTTGCATTAAATCTTTAGGGTTGAAACAACATGTTCACATGATGGGACGGTGTCTGCAAAGTTTCAATGAAATCTATCATAAATGTTAATGTAGGGGTAGTATAGACTGGACATGCTTAGTTAAATCAAGGGGCACAACTCTCTTAATATCAATGTAAACAACATGGCAACAACATATGCACTGGTGATATGATGGGTAAGTGTGTGCACACTGCAGTTCAGACAAAAGTTTGTCTACAGACAGACAACAGACAACCTGATACCAGCATGTCCCCACCAACCTTTTTGCAGGGTATAAAACTGGCACTAGGATAGCTGATCTCTATATAAAATACAGTTATATTAATACTTATAAACCCTGCTTTCATGGCCACTCACCTGTAAAAGTTGATGCCACAGTTCCATGCCTTTGTCATCAGCCAGAGGATCTCCATCTCTGGATACTGACCCTGTCCCATTAAGTAAAACTGTTTACAACCATTTTTGTCTGCATGACATTTCCTCTTACTCAACACAGACAACTCAATATATGGTTTACTATATGTGATTTTTAATGCCAATGTAATGGTCAGAAACATATATAACATTTAGACTACAATCATTATATAGTAAATGAAATATTTAAGGACATAGAATCTGTGAGCTTTTGTTTTTGACCACTGTATAAAGGACCTCACATACATGGCCATTTGCCTATGACCTATATGGCCAGTAAATGTGACTTCTTTATAGTGAGGACCTAGCTTGAACATATTAATAACTGTGACCTTTAACCTTTTTTCTGTGACCTGTGTAGTGAGGACCTTGACTATGTACATACCAGTGACCTTTTGTTTATGACCTCTGAGTATGACCTGTGTTGTGAGAACATTGACCTGTAACATACCTATGAACTTTTGACTCAAACTTTAATGACCTACATATGTATTATATACTTACTTGTACATTTTCATCACATGGTATTGTAAATTAAGTGTGATAACTAATGTAAAATTGTTTATAAGTGTCTCATAAGTCAGTAATTGCTGGATGTTAATATGGTTTTACCTGAATTTGTGAAATGTATCTGTTTTATGTATGTATTAACATGTGACACTACGCTAAAATATTGTATTGATTGATTGATTATATAGTGTGAACACCGAATAAGTACATACCTGTGACATTTACATATTTTTCTGTGCACTTGAGGACACATGTGTGATGTTAAGAATGAGTAAGTACCTACCTGTGACCTTTTATCTATGACCTCTATGACCTCTGTGTAGTATGTAAGTGCCTCCTCTCTAGTCCCAGAATCACCTGACAGAGAGAGCTGTACCAGGCTATGGAACAGCTTACTGTGACAAGGAGAAGATCGAGTCTTAGTGTTGTAGAGCAATAGGAATAGCTGTACAGACATAACAGTTCATATACATATGTACAATTTCGTGTTGTAGGCAATAATAAATAGCAGTAACCCATATGTACTGGTACAATTGAACAGCCCCTAGTTACCTGCACTTGTTGAAGTCTGGCTGAGGCAGCTGTAGGTGTTTCCTGATAGCCACTTTGATTGCTCTAACACTAACATTCTTGTTTTGAGCTGGGGGTTCCATTGCTAGGGCTGAAAAATGTGTCTTACCATCATTTAAATGAATGTTAATAATACAGTTGTTTATATAAAATATGAATCTTTGCATGACTTGCTTGCTTTTCTGGATCTGTAAAATGTAAATTGTAAAATGAGTGCCCAATTTATAGCCTATTTTTATTTCAAACTAGAACAGGGGCTTTATGTGCATTAAGAGTTAAAACACAGAGTCCATGGATAAGAGTGATGACCGAGGGATAAAATTCTGAAAATGTTTGACAGCCGGGTGATAAATAGAACCTATAATGACTGTGATTAATTAAAAGATGAGCATCATATTCAAAATTAAATTTTCTTCTTTGAAAACTTACCAATAATTTTGTGTGAAAGAAAGCCAACATGTCAAAATAGTGCTGTAATGAGCTCAAATTGATGACATTTTCCTTTTGTGAAATTCTTAAAGTTGCATAAGTGACGAGGTTAGATGACACAATCCTATCCAGAAGTGATGATTTTTTCAGAATAGATTAAATGCATCTAAACTGTCTTTCCCAACCTAAATACCTTTTAAAGATAGATTGATCTCTTTCCTACATAAAAACAGTATGAAGTGTAGGAGGAAATATCTCATATAATTCTACACTTAACCAGGAATTAATCCGTAACTGCATGGAAGACCAGTGGCAGTGAAACACTGGAAAATCATCATATTTAGTGTAGAGATTGCAAATTCTAGTTATATCTAAGTAGTGTACATCTTAACAGGGTACAACAGAAACCATACCAGCCAGTGTCTCAAAAGTCTTTGGATCTGGGTTAGGAAGGCGTAGTACTTGTTCCAGGGTTTGTTCTGACATGGGGTCGTTGAGTTTGACCTGGGCCTCAAACTCGTATAACAATAGCAGGGTCTCGGTGGAGTCCTTCCCCTTGTTTTCTATTGGTACAACAACAAGGATGATGATGGTCAGTTTTCTAAGTACAACACACAACATAGAAGATATAAATCCCCAAATGTTTTCAGTAAAATATAACATTTCTTCATAAACTGATCATAAATAAGGCAAAGTATTGCAAGAAATCCCTAGTCCCCTACCCCTGGATAAACTTGTTATCAAAATAGGGCCATTTGTCTTAACTGCATTATATGGCCCTCCAATATCCAAAGAGGTACTCGCATACAACATTTTGCAATTGTTAGTGACCCTGTAGATATGCCCTGAACAAATGTGGTGAACAAAGGGTCATAACTCTGTATAGTTGGGTGCAGGACCTCTCTTTGTATGGGGCAGTCTGCCATCCCAATACATACACAATTTGGCAATGGTAGGTGACAGTAAAAGTGAGTTATGCCCGGACAAATTAATTTTGAAACAAACTTGTAGTCCCCACTGTAGTATCAGTGGGGGATTAAATAAGAACACATCCAGATTTTTTTAACCTCAGTAAGAAGTTTCATTGAACACTTTAATTTGTTTTAACATTTGCTTGGGAAGGATGAATGAGACCTGTCTGTAGACAGAGGGAAACAATGTATATTAATTTTGTAAGATAAATTAATGTGATATGCTTGTAAAGAGGAGACAACTCTACCTGTGGAGATCAATGTGTTTTGTTGTAGCTGGTTGATCAGTTGTCTACAGTTCTTTACATGCTGCAAGGCCTCCTCCAGATTATACCTCTGCACACACAAACAATGCCTATAGATTTTTGTCCTGTCTTTTATCTTTTAGCATCCCAGATAAAAAAGTTATATCTCTAAGTGCTAGCCAGGCAGTGAGGGAAATGGATTTGGATGAGGGAGGGGCTTAGATCACTATATCACAGTCAACAAGCCAAGCAGCTTAAGAAATGACAGCTACAGAGTTGGGATGGGTGCAAGTTTGAGATTGTTTATCACATGGTTTTCAAGCCAAGTAGCTAGAGGTAACAGTTTCAGAGGGGGGACTGAGATCACAATATCAAATGGTTTGCATGACACAGATTTGGAACTTTTTGATAACTAAATCACATAGTTTATAAGATAAGGGAAGTGGGGGTAGAGCGGAAATCACTAAATCACATAGTTTATAAGCTAAGGGAAGTGGGGGTAGAGCGGAAATCACTAAATCACATAGCTTATAAGCTAAGGGAAGTGGGGGTAGAGCTGAAATCACTAAATCACACAGTTTATAAGCTAAGGGAAGTGGGGGTAGAGCTGTAATCACTAAATCACATAGGTTATAAGCTAAGGGAAGTGGGGATAGAGCTGAAATCACTAAATCACACAGTTTATAAGCTAAGGGAAGTGGGGGTAGAGCTGAAATCACTAAATCACATAGTTTATAAGCTAAGGGAAGTGGGGATAGAGCTGAAATCACTAAATCACATAGTTTATAAGCTAAGGGAAGTGGGGATAGAGCTGAAATCACTAAATCACATAGTTTATAAGCTAAGGGAAGTGGGGATAGAGCTGAAATCACTAAATCACATAGTTTATAAGCTAAGGGAAGTGGGGATAGAGCTGAAATCACTAAATCACATAGTTTATAAGCAAAGGGAAGTGGGGATAGAGCTGAAATCACTAAATCACATAGTTTATAAGCTAAGGGAAGTGGGGATAGAGCTGAAATCACTAAATCACATAGTTTATAAGCAAAGGGAAGTGGGGATAGAGCTGAAATCACTAAATCACATAGTTTATAAGCTAAGGGAAGTGGGGATAGAGCTGAAATCACTAAATCACATAGTTTAGAATTGGCTTTCGTTAGGTTGGAGGTTCACGACATCACATGAATTTAAGTCGGGCAGCTTTATCTGGTCGGACACTTCTTAATATCACATCTAAACTCAAACACATGTAATGTAAAAATATTTAGATATTAATATGTTAAACGCTTTTAGAAAAAATACCCCAGATAATTCATAGTGTTAATAGGTTCTTATTCTTAACTCAAGGACATCATATAAGACTCAGCTCAAAACAAACAGGTTACAAAGAGTTACTTTTTGTGCCTCGTCTTCTGACACCCTGGCCACCTGTAGAGCAGCAGCAGCCGCCATCAGCATACAAGTCTTCTGTCTCGTCAGATTATTGTCGTCACGAGGACATAGCGACGACAACTGTGGACACACAATCTTCTAGCTACAAGTTCTATAACCTATTTTTAGACTTGATTTGCCTATAATAATTTTTAGTATTCATATATAAGCTTTATTTATTTTATAACAACAATTATAAAACAAGTTTTTACAACTGATTTAAATCATCCTTGTTTGCACAAAGGGTCTTGATGCGGGAAACCAGAGTTCCTGGGAAAATCCACATGGTTTGGCAGGTGACCCCATACCTTTTCACATCATTCTTGGGAACCAAACCCTAGCCATCTTGGTGAAAGGCTTGTTTTGTCCAATTCGACATTGCAATGGATGTCACTTTTCACTTTATCAGAATTTTATCAGGTTTGAAGCAATTAATTGGGTCTTACAAGTAAGGTGTCGGTTAAGCATCTGAGATGAGAACGTTTTCATTTGTTTTATATAAACTTTCACCTCACAGAGAGTGCAATGCACAAAGTTTGACAACATCACACTGAATGTCACATGGAAAAAGTCTCTTGGACATGATATGAATATTATGGGCGAAAAGGTCATCATACTGGTAATGATTGAAGAAACCACTACTCAATGGATGACCTTCTACTTAACCTAAAGATAAAGACATACATTACTATAATAAAACAGGACATCAAAATCCCTCTGTAGTGGGAGTAAATAGAACCTAACTCTCTGTGTACTATTCTTTGGAAATAAACTACCATTACATTAGAATTACAACTGCTAGACTTCCTTTTCAGGCTATACCTGTTGGCAGAGAGAGAAGAGTGTCTTCATTCGTTGTGGACTCTCATCACACTGTAAGGCTAGGTTCCAAGCTGTAACAGAACATGGCAGCTAAGCCTAAGATATCTGAAATATCTGAGTACGGTACGTTTATAGAATTGTTTGTAAATGATCAAATAAAACCTTATCATAGATTTGTTTTCTTTATACAATTTCTTTCTTTATAATCAATAACCATTTGGATACAAAAACAACTATTTAAAGTGAAAGTACAAATATGAAATGTCTTTGCTCTATAAATGTACAAGGGTATTCAGGAATGGTTGATGTATGAATTGCTTTCATATTCTGTTAACACACAGCTATTACATGGTATAGATATGTGCATATCACATAATTACCTATTTTGATGAACCAACTTGCTTCATTTTGAACCTGATTCTGGTTTTCTTTGCTTTCATTTTGAAGCTGAAGTAATTTGTGATAAGCTGAAACATAAACATTTGTACATGGTTTGGTAAAGTTTAATTTAAGATACAGATGCATTATAAAGAATTCACTCACAGGTAAAGATAACTTCTTAATTCATAATATACCCACATCTACTCATGAAACCAGCATTAGCATTTCAACAAAGCTGAGTTCTAAATACCTTAAGTACCCTGCTCCTAGAGTCCATGCAGCTGTTTATGAGAGATTTGAAAAGATCGGCAACAGAAGAAACAGAAAACATTGAAGCAGAACAATTTATATTACAACATCAAAAGAATATAGTCTCGATTTCATATTTTTAAACATCTTACCAGTTTGGATGTTTCTGTCAATGTTGGAAGGCTCTGTCCTAAAAGTACAAATTAATGTAAAAAACACCTTACATTAATTGTCTGGAAAGAAAACACAAAAGCATATTAATTAATAGTACAACTGTCTGAAGTGATAGTGGATAGCTATGAGATCAGAAAGTGACAAGTGACAAGAAATATCCGAGTCCTGTTACAGGGTCTTTAGTTGGTCTAATGAAACTTTGGAGGACAGTGAGAACACATAAGTTGTCAAACTTACTCTTGATCTTTTTCTGGAGAGGCTAGCTTGAGTCTGACGAGACAGCGTAGAGCTGTCAGGACCTGCCAGGGGTCAGAGCAGCTGTTTGCAACACATTCTAGTGCTTGGGATGCCACAACTTGATGATTCTCCTATAATCAAACACAATGACAACAGCTATATACACCTGCAATCTATGTAACACATTTAATTTCCACATATTTCTTAACATTGTTCACTGTAGGATAAGTATAACAGATCTAGCGTAATTCTTAATTGATAACCAGTATCAAAAGTTAATTTAACAACGGACTATCCATGTAAAAGTGAATACCTTGTGAAAGGAACATCTCTCTTTGACAATTATATAGCTTTAACTACAATTGTTACCTCAAATGCCATCTGTGCTGCCAGACACATGATGCTATGTGCATCTGTACTGTCATCCCCAAGGTCAGAGCTGGCTACCATCTCACACATCTTCTGCAGTACACATTTCGCTACAATTGACACCAAACTCATCATCAAATAAACTTTGTACATGATGAATTAAGTGTATAGAGACCTGGCCTCAATATACAAACACTGAGATCAAGCTGAGCTTGCATAAGCTTAAGTTTCTATGGTACACTCATGCTACCATTACAGGTAAGTCCCATATCTCCAGAAAACCTTGGTACTTTGTATATAGGAAGCATAAAACATGATTGCAGTTTGTGACATGCTGCACTCTCAAAAGGTACTGGCATGCAGAATTTGATATGGTGACAGGCTATAAAAGATATGCTGTGGAAAGTGATTCATTATTAATTAAGGACAAGAACTTTTTTATATTGTTGGGCACGAAACCTGATTTTAGTATGTAATACTCCACAATCCCAAGAAGTCACCACTTACATGCAAAATTTGACAGTGTATTTAAGATGTGTCACGGGCCAAGTGACACACAGACTGATGGATGGGGTGCAAAGTTTAGGACCTCTCTGGTAGTTCTGATCGGGGACAACCAGGCAATGAAGAACTGTTTGTAGACAATGAATAGTAACTCCTCGGAAAGTTCTATCGTCCTTTAAGATCACCTAACTAGGCATTGCTTTTAAACCTACCTGTGTTGACATCTGCTCCAGCCAGAGAGACTTTATAGAGGATGAACTGAGTATGGACAGACCTGGGCTCCCATCTCTCTGCCTGCTCAGCTGACTCAAATGCCTGGTCACCACAGAAATTGCCAAATAATACCTTCTACATGGTGTTCAGTGTTTTTATGGACTTGCTAAATCTTCAAATAAAGATATTTATTTTCAAACTTAAAATTTAATTTTTCATTTGGCTAAATTTGGTAATATAGTTTGTTTCAAATTGTTTATATAATCCTTCAATTTGATCAGCACCCACCTTGTCCCTCTGCTCCAGATGCAAGTAACAAGATGCTCTATTCCTGTATAATTTGGCCAGATTGTGTGCCTCAATATCTGAGTGAGAGAACAGACTCAAGGTGTAGTTATACCACTCCAGTGATTCCTGGTAGTCTTTTGCCTGCAAAAAAATAAAGTGGAGCATATTAGGTATGTATACTAGATTGGATGATGTGTTGCACAGTTTGTTAACATGCACAGTAAGCCTCTAAAGAAATGAACTTACAGTTGATGTTTACCAAAAACAGGTAACAGTCATTGGTAGACGACAGGTAAGCAGAGAACCTTTGGTGACAGGCAACAGTCACTAGGAGACAGTGGTTGAGGATAGGTAAGCAGTGAACCTTTGGTGACTGGCCAATGGTTAAGGGCAGGTAAGCAGTGAACCTTTGGTGACTGGCCAATGGTTGAGGACAGGTGAGTAGTGAACTTTTGGTGACTGGCCAATGGTTGAGGACAGGTAAGCAGTGAACCTTTGGTGACTGGTCGATGGTTGAGGACATGTAACCAGTTAACCTTTGGTGACTGGCCAATGGTTGAGGACAGGTAATCAGTGAACCTTTGGTGACCGGTAACAGTGAGTGGTAGAGGACAGGTAAGCAGTGAACCTTTGGTACCAAGTAACAAGACAATTGTTGAGGACAGGTAACCAGTGAACATTTGGTGACAGGTAACAGTGAGTGGTAGAGGACAGGTAACCAGTGAACATTTGGTGACAGGTTACAATCAGTGGTAGAGGACAGGGTACCAATGAACATTTGGTGACAGGTTACAGTCAGTGGTAGAGGACAGGGTTCCAGTGAACATTTGGTGACAGGTAACAGTGAGTGGTAGAGGACAGGTAACCAGTAAACATTTGGTACCAGGTAACAGTGAGTGGTAGAGGACAGGTAACCTGTTAACCGTTGGTACCAAGTAACAGTGAGTGGTAGAGGACAGGTAACCAGTGAACATTTGGTATCAGGTAATAGTCAGTGGTAGAGGACAGGGTACCAGTGAACATTTGGTGACAGGTAACAGTGAGTGGTATAGGACAGGTAACCGATGAACATTTGGTACCAGGTAACAGTGAGTGGTAGAAGACAGGTAACCTGTTAACCGTTGGTACCAAGTAACAGTGAGTGGTAGAGGACAGGTAACCAGTGAACATTTGGTGACAGGTTACAGTCAGTGGTAGAGGACAGGTAACCAACGAACATTTGGTGACAGGTAACAGTCAATGGTAGAGGCAGGTAACCAGTGAACATTTGGTAACAGGTAACAGTGAGTGGTAGAGGACAGGTAACCAATGAACATTTGGTGACAGGTTACAGTCAGTGGTATAGGACAGGGTACCAATGAACATTTTGTGACAGGTTACAGTCAGTGGTATAGGACAGGGTACCAATGAACATTTTGTGACAGGTTACAGTCAGTGGTATAGGACAGGGTACCAATGAACATTTACCAGGTAACAGTGAGTGGTAGAGGACAGGTAACCTATGAACGGTTTGTGCCAGGTAACAGTGAGTGGTAGAGGACAGGGTACCAGTGAACGTTTTGTGACAGGTAACAGTGATCGGTAGAAGACAGGTAACCAATGAACATTTGGTGACAGGTTACAGTCAGTGGTATAGGACAGGGTACCAATGAACGTTTTGTGACAGGTAACAGTGAGTGGTAGAGGACAGGGTACCAGTGAACATTTTGTGACAGGTAACAGTGAGTGGTAGAGGACAGGGTACCAGTGAACGTTTTGTGACAGGTAACAGTGAGTGGTAGAGGACAGGGTACCAGTGAACGTTTTGTGACAGGTAACAGTGAGTGGTAGAGGACAGGGTACCAGTGAACGTTTTGTGACAGGTAACAGTGAGTGGTAGAGGACAGGGTACCAGTGAACGTTTTGTGACAGGTAACAGTGAGTGGTAGAGGACAGGGTACCAGTGAACGTTTTGTGACAGGTAACAGTGAGTGGTAGAGGACAGGGTACCAGTGAACGTTTTGTGACAGGTAACAGTGAGTGGTAGAGGACAGGGTACCAGTGAACGTTTTGTGACAGGTAACAGTGAGTGGTAGAGGACAGGGTACCAGTGAACGTTTTGTGACAGGTAACAGTGAGTGGTAGAGGACAGGGTACCAGTGAACGTTTTGTGACAGGTAACAGTGAGTGGTAGAGGACAGGGTACCAGTGAACGTTTTGTGACAGGTAACAGTGAGTGGTAGAGGACAGGGTACCAGTGAACGTTTTGTGACAGGTAACAGTGAGTGGTAGAGGACAGGGTACCAGTGAACGTTTTGTGACAGGTAACAGTGAGTGGTAGAGGACAGGGTACCAGTGAACGTTTTGTGACAGGTAACAGTGAGTGGTAGAGGACAGGGTACCAGTGAACGTTTTGTGACAGGTAACAGTGAGTGGTAGAGGACAGGGTACCAGTGAACGTTTTGTGACAGGTAACAGTGAGTGGTAGAGGACAGGGTACCAGTGAACGTTTTGTGACAGGTAACAGTGAGTGGTAGAGGACAGGGTACCAGTGAACGTTTTGTGACAGGTAACAGTGAGTGGTAGAGGACAGGGTACCAGTGAACGTTTTGTGACAGGTAACAGTGAGTGGTAGAGGACAGGGTACCAGTGAACGTTTTGTGACAGGTAACAGTGAGTGGTAGAGGACAGGGTATCAATGAACGTTTTGTGACAGGTGACAGTGAGTGGTAGAGGACAGGGTACCAATGAACGTTTGGTGACAGGTAACAGTGAGTGGTAGAGGACGGGTAACCAGTAAACATTTGGTGACAGGTAACAGTGAGTGGTAGAGGACAGGTAACCAATGAATATTTGGGGACAGGTAACAGTCAGTGGTAGAGGACAGGGTACCAATGAACATTTTGTGACAGGTAACGGTGAGTGGTAGAGGATAGGGTACCAGTGAACGTTTTGTGACAGGTAACAGTGAGTGGAAGAGGACAGGGTACCAGTGAACGTTTTGTGACAGGTAACAGTGAGTGGTAGAGGACAGGGTACCAATGAACGTTTGGTGACAGGTAACAGTGAGTGGTATAGGACAGGGTACCAGTGAACGTTTTGTGACAGGTAACAGTGTGTGGTATAGGACAGGGTACCAGTGAACGTTTGTGACAGGTAACAGTAAGTGGTAGAGGACAGGGTACCAGTGAACGTTTTGTGACAGGTAACGGTGAGTGGTAGAGAATAGGGTACCAGTGAACGTTTTGTGACAGGTAACAGTGAGTGGTAGAGGACAGGTAACCAGTGAACTATTGGTGACAGGTAACAGTGAGTGGTAGAGGACAGATAGGCAGTGAACTATTGGTAACAGGTAATAGTCCATAGCAAGTTGTGGAGAGGTAAGCAATGAACCTTTGTTGACAAGTATCAATGGTTGAGGACAGGTTACCAGTCAACAGTTCAACAAAGGTAATCAAGCAGTGGTAGAGCATGACTTATCACTAATTAAAGGTCAAAAAGAAGCCAGTACAAGTATCTGTTTTAGGTTACCATTGCTAACCCACCTCAAATGCTACAGCTGCCTGCTCCCATAGTGTCAGGTGAAACCTTTTCTTCACTGTAGCATCTAATGGCTTTCCAGTATTGTGAGCTTAAAAAGTAATGTCAAACATCTAAATTGCCATAAAGGATAAGTGTCTATAAGGCCCTTTTTTGGACCCCGGTATGTTCAAAGATGACCTATTGTATTACATGTGCAAAAACTAAGGTAACAGTTTGACCGAAAGTGGGGTTATGGGGTTACCAAAAGGGGTAGGGTAAATCACAAATATAATTTGCTTTTTTTTAAAAAGTTCTTAAAATCCGAAATTGTACTATTTCTGTTTTTGAAAACATGTGTAAACTAAACAGGCATATATAAAAGAATGGGATATGACAGAAATGCAATTGTCACTTTAAGATTGTTTATATAAAACCCAATTTCGGTCAAACTTTTACCTTAGTTTTTGCACATGTGATAAGATAGGACAACTTTGAACAAATTAAGGAGGTGAAATCTGAATATACTGGGGCCAAAAAAAGGGCCTTATAGACACTCATCCTTTTGAATAAACACATCAAAACTCATAATTTCTAATTTGTTGAACTGAAATCAGCTTGTTAACCTCAAAATGTTTAAAAGGTCACTGCATTTGAAGATGCTTTTCAGATTTTTTCTTCTTAGTACAGAGTTTCATATACTGAAATTTACTATCTAAATTTAAGGGAATAACATACATGTTTCTAACATTTGAAGTAAGCATATCACTTCTCAAGGGGTATTGACAGAAACAAATGAAAAAACAAGCTTTGTAAAAATGGATGTCTTTTAGAGGCAATGTTTTTCATAGGATTAAGTATGTGCTAATGACGGAAGTCTAAAAACTCTTCCCTGACCACAGCTTTGGCTATCTTTGTTCCTACAGCCATTGAAAAAGGGTCTGGATTAGTCCTGGATTAAAACCATGCCCAGTGATGGATGCTTCTGCATGTTTATCCACCTTGACCTCCCCACCAATAGTGGTCATCACTACGTTAGGGTGTGGGTTAGGGACATCTGAAGTGTCTTAGCCAGGAATAAAACCTTACCAGTAATAGATTCCTCCACAAAGTCTTTGGCTTCTCTGATCTTTCCCATCTGTATCAGTAACTCCAGCTGACTGACAATGATTCGTCCTACATCCGGGGATGTAGCAAAGGTCTTCAACAAAATCTTAGTCACATCCATGGCAATTTCAGTCCTGAACAATGAGATTTTTTTATGCTACATGTATCAACTAATTTCAGTTTTAGTCATCAATGTATTACTCAGATACATTATTTAGACATTTTTGCTAACTTTTTCATATTAATCTGAATAAAACCCTACCTTTAGACAAATTAAGTGGGTAATCTTCATACAAGAGTTTGCTGCACAGCATATTTACTGGAGATCTTGCACTGACCTTGTTGCTTACGGATGGTGAATTCATCATGACAGTAAATGAGTACTACTAGGCTGTAAGCTTTTACAAGTTTGACGATTCAATATGCAACCATAATGGCAGACTCTGTGAGGAGGGGTGTGTCAGGAGATGGCAAGTCACATCATCCCATACTGGTTGTGCTGCACCACAAAATGAAGGCAAGATAGGAGTTTAAGGAGAAACCAAGTTCCTTAATCAAAATAATCTCTATGGGACACTCAGAGATGGATAATGATTGAAAAAGGGTGCAAGGAAATATCCATTCACTACATACCTGTTACACTGAGATACACAGGTGGGATGGGCAGGGATGTTATAGGCGACACCATGTCCCACCACTGCATACCTGTTATGTTGGGACACACAGGTGGGATGGGCAGGGATATGTTAGGAGACACCATGTCCCATCACTACATACCTGTTACACTGGGACACACATGTGGGATGGGGAGGGATGTTATAGGAGACACCATGTTCCATCATACATACCTGTTACACTGGGACACACAGGTGGGATGGGGAGGGATGTTATAGGAGACACCATGTCCCATCACTACATACCTGTTACACTGAGATACACAGGTGGGAAGGGAAGGGATGTTATAGGAGACACCATGTCCCATCACTACATACCTGTTACACTGAGATACACAGGTGGGATGGGGAGGGATGTTATAGGAGACACCATGTCCCATCACTACATACCTGTTACACTGAGATACACAGGTGGGATGGGGAGGGATGTTATAGGAGACACCATGTCCCATCACTACATACCTGTTACACTGAGATACACAGGTGGGATGGGGAGGGATGTTATAGGAGACACCATGTCCCATCACTACATACCTGTTACACTGAGATACACAGGTGGGATGGGGAGGGATGTTATAGGAGACACCATGTCCCATCACTACATACCTGTTACACTGAGATACACAGGTGGGATGGGGAGGGATGTTATAGGAGACACCATGTCCCATCACTACATACCTGTTACACTGAGATACACAGGTGGGATGGGGAGGGATGTTATAGGAGACACCATGTCCCATCACTACATACCTGTTACACTGAGATACACAGGTGGGATGGGGAGGGATGTTATAGGAGACACCATGTCCCATCACTACATACCTGTTACACTGAGATACACAGGTGGGATGGGGAGGGATGTTATAGGAGACACCATGTCCCATCACTACATACCTGTTACACTGAGATACACAGGTGGGATGGGGAGGGATGTTATAGGAGACACCATGTCCCATCACTACATACCTGTTACACTGAGATACACAGGTGGGATGGGGAGGGATGTTATAGGAGACACCATGTCCCATCACTACATACCTGTTACACTGAGATACACAGGTGGGATGGGGAGGGATGTTATAGGAGACACCATGTCCCATCACTACATACCTGTTACACTGAGATACACAGGTGGGATGGGGAGGGATGTTATAGGAGACACCATGTCCCATCACTACATACCTGTTACACTGAGATACACAGGTGGGATGGGGAGGGATGTTATAGGAGACACCATGTCCCATCACTACATACCTGTTACACTGAGATACACAGGTGGGATGGGGAGGGATGTTATAGGAGACACCATGTCCCATCACTACATACCTGTTACACTGAGATACACAGGTGGGATGGGGAGGGATGTTATAGGAGACACCATGTCCCATCACTACATACCTGTTACACTGAGATACACAGGTGGGATGGGGAGGGATGTTATAGGAGACACCATGTCCCATCACTACATACCTGTTACACTGAGATACACAGGTGGGATGGGGAGGGATGTTATAGGAGACACCATGTCCCATCACTACATACCTGTTACACTGAGATACACAGGTGGGATGGGGAGGGATGTTATAGGAGACACCATGTCCCATCACTACATACCTGTTACACTGAGATACACAGGTGGGATGGGGAGGGATGTTATAGGAGACACCATGTCCCATCACTACATACCTGTTACACTGAGATACACAGGTGGGATGGGGAGGGATGTTATAGGAGACACCATGTCCCATCACTACATACCTGTTACACTGAGATACACAGGTGGGATGGGGAGGGATGTTATAGGAGACACCATGTCCCATCACTACATACCTGTTACACTGAGATACACAGGTGGGATGGGGAGGGATGTTATAGGAGACACCATGTCCCATCACTACATACCTGTTACACTGAGATACACAGGTGGGATGGGGAGGGATGTTATAGGAGACACCATGTCCCATCACTACATACCTGTTACACTGAGATACACAGGTGGGATGGGGAGGGATATGTTAGGAGACACCATGTCGAACCACTACATACCTGTTACACTGGGACACACAGGTGGGATGGAGAGGGATATGTTAGGAGACACCATGTCCCATCACTACATACCTGTTACTTTGGGATACACAGGTGGGATAGGGAGGGATGTTATAGGAGACACCATGTCCCATCACTACATACCTGTTACTTTGGCATACACAGGTGGGATAGGGAGGGATGTTATAGGAGACCCCATGTCCCATCACTACATACCTGTTACTCTGGGATACACAGGTGGGATGGGGAGGGATGTTGTAGGAGACACCATGTCCCATCACTACATATCTGTTACTCTGAGATACACAGGTGGGATGGGGAGGGATATGTTAGGAGACCCCATGTCCCATCACTACATACCTGTTACTCTGAGATACACAGGTGGGATGGGGAGCGATGTTATAGGAGACACCATGTCCCATCACTTCATACCTGTTACACTGAGATACACAGGTGGGATGGGGGGGGATATGGTAGGAGACACCATGTCGAACCACTACATACCTGTTACACTACATACCTGTTACACTGGGACACACAGGTGGGATAGGGAGGGATGTTATAGGAGACCCCATGTCCCATCACTACATACCTGTTACACTGAGATACACATGTGGGACGGGGAGGGACGTTATAGGAGACACCATGTCCCATCACTAAATACCTGTTACACTGAGATACACAGGTGGGATGGGGGGGGATATGGTAGGAGACACCATGTCGAACCACTACATACCTGTTACACTACATACCTGTTACACTGGGACACACAGGTGGGATGGAGAGCGATATGTTAGGAGACACCATGTCCCATCACTACATACCTGTTACTCTGAGATCAAAGGTGGGATGGGGAGGGATGTTATAGGAGACACCATGTCCCATCACTACATACCTGTTACACTGAGATACACAGGTGGGAACGGGAGGGATGTTATAGGGGACACCATGTCCCATCACTACATACCTGTTACACTGAGATACACAGGTGAGATGGGCAGGGATGTTACAGGAGACACCATGTCCCACCACTACATACCTGTTACACTGGGACACACAGGTGGGATGGGGAGGGATGTTATAGGAGACACCATGTCCCATCATACATACCTGTTATGTTGAGACACTAGCTGTACAACATTCAGTCCAAGGTCAACTGTCACATCAGACTGATGCAGAATGTCTTCAATGGCTACAACCAGAAATGCCTATTTATAAAACAGTGCAAAAAGAAATAAGATCAAATATAAATGAGTAACAGTAGAACAGTTTTGTTGATTTAAACTATGATTGAAAGTCTTGTTACAGATATAATGAATACTCTACCTTTCTGTATCGCTCCATCATCCTCTCCAATAAATAGCAGCACTCGCAGACTTAAATAGAAACCAGCTGGGTGTGGATGTTCCTGAAAGAAATTTAGCACAACTTACCGTACCTTATCTTAAGATGTTTGAAGAGTCGTCCACGGAAAAAAAAAAAAAAAAAGTTTATCTAAGGAAAAAAATCCCGCTTTAAAAAAACACTTATCTACATCTAGTAAATTATGGGCACATCAAACAAGGAAAATAAATTTGACAAGATTAATTTAACTGCTTCAATTAATAGAAATGTGTTAACTTTGATCTAATTCATAACGTCAAGGACATAGGTTCTGACATTGTGTTGAACATGCAATCATAAGAAAATCACAAAAATGTCTTTCCAATTAGAAAGATGAAATATACAGTGATGCTGTAAATATAATCATCACTCAGTATGCACTTACTGTGTTGGCCAATGTCACAGCATTCAAAGCTTTCTGGCAATGTTCTTTGGCATTCCACTCTAAGTAGGCATTGGCTAGCAACCTCAATGTGCGTGCCTGAAACCAAATATTGTCTTTGCAAATACTAAAATTCACCATTAAAATGTTCATATTTCAAATTATTTGTTAAAAAAATCTTTTTTAGATGGAAGCAGTAGTTTTTATTTTAAAACTTTTATTCCAATCAGCAATATTGGAATAATACTTAGGTATAACTGATAATTAATTGTTAATGTAATATAGTATGTTGAAGCATAATGACAGTAACAAGAAAGTAACAATGTACCCAAGCTTGAATGTAATTTAAAACAGTAGATCATATTGACCTTGATAGTGACTTTTGACTTTTAAGTCCTGAAGTAAAAGTTTCATTTAACTTTTACAAACTGTGCATGTTTTAATACATGTATTTGTAAAGTATATCTGGATATATCCCTAAATTTCAACCTGAAACTGTATGTTCACAGACAGAAAGACAGTGATTACAGTATACCTCATCATGTTAGCATGGGACATAATACCCAACAGATTACTCTCATACCTGATTTCGGGATCCAATAGTTTGTCGAACTTTGCCTAACTCAAAGCTCTCTCTCAGCCACATGACACCTTGCTCATACTTTTGCTGCTGGTACATGTCCACTCCAAAATTATAACACAGCATGGAAAGGTAGCCACCCTAATCAGAGAGAAATTGTTTGAAAGATTTTTGTTAAAAATGTATTCAGCTGATTTTCATTCTGTTGCTGATAAATCCCTTTTCATTGTAAGCATATCCACTGTATAGGATAACCTTCTTATGCGTGCTTCGATATTTCAGAAAATAGACTCTGGAATATGATCATCCAATTATTTTTTACAATTTTTAAAAATCAGTGGTTTCATATTCTTAGGTATAATGCTGCAATGAATCGGTTCCTGTTATACAACATGCAAACATATTGATAATTTTGTTGGATGAAGTGAAATGTGTATATATTATATATATGGTGACTTATTTTCCCAAAATCAACATGTACTACAGAAAAAAAATCTTGAAAATTGATTGATATTGAGTAATGTGTTACAAACCTCATTTGGAAAGTTTGGCAGCATTTCCTTTGCCAGCAGTACCAGATCTAGGGCCTTCTGTTGGTTTTGTTGAGCTAGTGCCTTAGCGTTACATAATAAACATTCTGCATTTAATGACTTGTAAAACAGAGAGCAACACAGGAATGAAACAATAAATAGTCAAATCAAAATCTGGTCATAATTGATTAAGTTTTTGTGCAGAAACCATTGATAAAATCAGAGTGCAGTATGATAATTATGTAATGTATTTTGCTCAACAAATTTCATCAGAATTTGGGCAATGCATGTATGTTTAAGATATTGTGTGGCAACTGTCGACTAATCAGAGCACACTATGCTCACCTTTAACCTAAGCCTTTGTATATTGTAAATGCTGTCCAAATTTCATTAAAATAAAATGATATTTTAACAGCTGAAACCATTTTTTCGGGACAGACTGCAATCTACTTACTGCCTCTGATTTGTAGCACATCAGTTTAAACACATCCTGTAGTACTTCTGTCTTCTGTTTATCTACCGCTTCAGTAGCAACTCCATCATTCTTTCTCTCCACAATAGCTTTCTGTACTGAGGCTACAAACTAAAAAGATTATCACACTGGATTAGGAGTTTAAGATTACTAATTTGTATTTCTAATATCAAAATTAGTATTAACTGGTAGTATAAACATAAACATATCGATATTGGGTTGGAATCTTTAACTGATATTTCAATTCCCAACAAGAATTAAAATTTGTTTCCTCGCAGAGTTTAAATTGTTTGGTGATTGCTTGGAAATTATTTCATCGCAAGTGACAACTTAAATTTGGGTTTATGTTATGGAATGCAGTGTTTTTTCTGTGGAATTTTTGGGGTCAATAATGGACCCCATTCCCAATTGAAACCGTTTCATTTTTATGCTTTAAATTCCCAAAACTTGCAGTTTACTCCTGAAAAATTCCTACCAAATAGGTATATTTTCTTCCCAAAATGAGACAAAAAGGCCCCACCCCAAATTAACAAAAAAATACCCACTGGAATGGTTATTGACCTGCCATACCTTTTGAGGGTTGAACAAAAGCTTGGGTACCAGACAAACCTAATCAGAGTAAATGACTGGATTAGTAACCTAACTAATCTGAGGAAACTGAGTAAGACACTTGATTTGTGTGGCCTGTGTAAAAGACTGGGTAAGAGGCTAAGAGACTTGCCCGATCTGAGAGATGTAAGCATTCCTAATGTTTGAGAGCTGACAAAGAGACTGAGTAAGTGACAGTTGGATCTATCTGATATGTAAGGGCTGGCTAAGAGGCAGAGTAAGAGACATGCCCAATCTGTGAGGGCATGGTATGTAACTAACCTGATTTGTGAGGGCTGGCTACACGGCAGAGTAAGAGACCTGCCCAATCTGTGAGGGCATGGTATGAGACCTACCTGATCTGTGAGGGCTCGTTAAGAGGCAGAGTATGAGACCTACCTGATCTGTGAGGGATGACTGAAAGATAGAGTAAGCGACATACCTGATCAGTAAAGTTTGGGTAAGAAATTCACCTGATCCATGACGGCTGGGTAAGACTCACCTGATCTGTGCGGACTTGGTGAGAGTCTGAAACTTACCTGATCTGTTAGGAGGAAGACTTGATCAGCCATCACAGGGTCTTTGCTATCTGTAGGACAATGATATATGACATACATATTGTACAAGATAAGATATGATAAAATATTGTACAGATGAGATAGGACATACAAAAAATGATACATATTGTATAGATGAGATACGACATACATATTGTATAGATAAGATATATATAACAATAACATACATATAGGATGGTTTAGATATAATGTTGGAAATATGATTTATAACATACATATTTGATACAATAACATAAATATTGGATATTTGAGATATACATGTTGAAAAGAATTGAGATATGGTGCTTGCAACAACCAGGTCATGTATTGAATTTACTTGACATGTTATAGATGAGATACACTATGGGTATACATACTCACCTAACCATGCCCTACCTGCCTTCATTCCCATCTGAAATACAATATAAATGAGCAACATACTAATTTATCATTTTTATGTCGTGTAACTTTTTTTAATTTTAAATTACATGATAAATGATTCATAAAACCAAACAATTCAATTTTTACCACAATTTTTTTTCAGCATTATTTTCGGTCAATCTGTCATCTGTTTTTTTATCAAGGGTAATATTTTCTCTTGTTACTTTTTAGTAATACTAAATAGGAACTTGTTTCAGCAATTGCTAGATGATAAGGAATGACAAGGCACATCTATATGTTTCTTAGAGTGAAAAAAATCATTACCACAATTTTCTTTTTCCATGTATTTTCATTGAATGCAGAGGATGTAGAACAGTCCACCAAAAGAAAGGCAACGTGTCTCACTATGGAAAATGTTGATAAAAGTTAACTGATGAACTACCAAAAAAAACCAATAGCTTACATTTCAATTTTAACAAAACCAAAATGTCCAATTTTTTTAAACATGTTTTCTAGAGCCATGTTTTTTTGTTTTTTTTTTAAATTCTCAACTTGTATTCAGATGGCATTGCAAAGGCAACAAACATCTAAAACTAAATCATCTCACATAAATAAGTTTGTTTTGGATCATTTACGTGTTTGTTTCCAATTCAAAAAAAAAATATCAGTACTATTGTATTTGGTATAGATCCAAAAAATCATATTCAAGACTTACATTTTGCATTTACTAAAACAGGGAGCGAATCTTTGGTTTTCAGAGCTACAGCTATATTCCAAAGATTAACAGCATGTGTTTCCAACTAAGAAAAAAGAAAAAGGCACATGTTCGATATTGGCTTATGTTTTGGAATATGTTCATATTTCAGTTGATGTTGTTTGATGGTCAATTTTTATTCAACCCTATGTGTGGATGTTCATGCATCATCATTGGTCCAACAAGTTTGCCCTGTCTGAACTTTGGAGTCATGTAGAAGTATCTCTATAGTCAGGTAGATGCTCATCAACTGATTTTTTTCTGGATACAAACAATTTTACACAGTGTGATTTTATCATTTTAGATTATTCCAATATAAGGTTTTATTAGTATTATTTTAAAACCTACTATTGCGACAACAGTTCTCTGTTCCTCTGACATATGTGTGGACTCCTCATGTAGTCTATTTACAAGGGACATAACTCTGTCAATCTGGTCAAGCCATTGTTTATTGGCTCCATTTTCACCTTTGCATATCTCCTTTAACAATGCTGCAAAGGAAACCGAATAAGGTACAATCAGTATGCTGTCATAACAATTTCAAAAACTGCACTTTAGATATGAGGGGGTTTACACACTACCACAGTTCCTCAAAAAGTTTACAGTCACCCAAACATTTTCAACCTACAAAATAACATATTATCCAATGTTCAATTACTGTATAACACGAAATGTTCATGGGAACTCATTGAAGTCATTTAGATCGATTCATGGTACAAACTTTTGTGACTATCCTATATTAACAAACAGTAGACACGTATATCATTCAAATTCATTGTATTTATTTTCGTGGTTTAATAACAACCACAAAAAACACGAATGTTTATACACAACGAAGATTTCATGTTGTTATACAGTATATACCTAGGCCATTCGGGGCTTAATTTCTCCTTTACTAGCTGTGGAGAGGCATGACGACTTCAAACCAATTAAGGTAGCTATGTAAAACCTCAAAAATCACAGTAAAATGTTTCAGCATCATATTTTGTATGCATATCAATGTTAAACCAAGGGCCTTGTGACTATGATGAATAAATCTTGTTCTTTCATAAGATCTGGTGCTGTTATTAAAAAGCTGGACATGCTATCAACATTAGAGTAGTTTTCATTTACAATGTTTGTATCATATCTTGCTTATTCATATTCATAACACCACAATATATATATAGGCCTATATATATATATATTGTAATTAAATAGAAGTGGGAAAATGCACAGCCAGACCACGGTTCTAACCCAGGACTCCCTAAACTTGGGACCCTTCCCAACTCTAGAAGGACCCTCTACCAATTGACCTGGTCACCTACAACTGACCGTCCAGTTCCACTACAATATCATCAAACAGTAACTTTTGTTTCTTATTCACAATCTGCTAAAATGTATAATTGAATCCCAAAAACAGAGAAGAGAAGAACAAACATCATGGTTAAGGTGGTGCCGACTGCAGTAGGAGTCATCTCTTAGTAAGATGTTATAATGCTGATGTATATTTTATGAAGACATCAGCCTTTATGTCTTGATATTCAATAGTGTAATTGTCCAAATAACATATATCTGAATTCCAATGATAAATGGCGTATTTAGGTGAGTTACACTATTGTTAAGGGAAAAAATCATAAAACAAAGCTACAAACAAACTTTCGAGTTTCAATGAAGATGAATTCATGAAATGTCAAAGAATATCGCACACTTGGAAGTTGGAACATACCTTGAATCTGGGCAGTGATGACATTAAGTTCTTGAGTCACTGACATTGTGATTGTCCTTGTCAACTTTTCGTTATTACAGAAACAAGAAAATGTTTCTATCAAGCAAAAATAAATATAATGAATCAACAGTAATCCAGGATGTTGCCCACAATTTTGTAATTCAATCCACTATCTACTAAGTGACAATATTACTCGGTTAACGAATCAAACAAGTCAGCGCGTAATTCGGAATCGTCTGTTTACACTTTCCCGCGCCTGCGTATTATACTGACATTTCCATCTACGTCTTCTGAGCGGTTGCATTGAAGGTACATGTGAATACAATTATTCAAGCAACCTATCGACGTCAACTTAATGTTCTTAAAAGTTATAAGCCGCCAAATAGATAACACGGACACAGTTTTATATGTGCTTAACCGTTCTTTTGGGACAATGCCGATTGCAAATGACAAAGAAATCAAGAGGTAAGGTATTGTTCTTATAACGAGACAGTACACGTTATCCATTGAAAAGAAAACTGGAATGTTGTAAACGATACAATGAATGAGCTGGGCAGGGTGCGCATGACGCCATGAGCCCGTGTGTGTGTGTGTGCCAATTTTAATATCGTCGTTCTAAACGTCAATTTTCATTCTAAATACAAACTGCCTATGTCAGGGTGTGAAACTACCACCATGGGAAAAGTTCCGAGAGACGTTAGGCCTAATGGTATGAAAATGATCTGATTTTTTTTACGATGCGACTTTGTTTCACTCCAGGACACTAACGTCACTGTACCCAAATCGGGACACTTTTTAGATAAATATCAATGTATTGATTTTTCATAAATAGATCCACTTTTCATTTCTATTACAAGTTGATATTTCGGGCGCGTGGTTCTATAAATAAAACACGAAATACCATCAGGGTTACGTAGGCCCTTGAACTGTTGTAACTGTACTGAGTACCCTGAAAGGGACACTTCGGTATTTTGGCTAATATTTGGGGATGAACGATCAATATGAGCAGAAAAGAAGACATATTTCAAATATTTTTAGAGTCAAACTTGGTTATCACTAAATTTCTTCTCCAAACTAGCATCAGTTTTGAAAATGACTTGGTCATTTTTCTTACCTTTAAATTGTCCATGTAACGATAATCAACGGTCAATAAATGCTAACATACAGTTAAAAAAAAGTATTATCAAATGAAAACTGTATACATGAAAGTACTTCTTTGTATTGAATGACAGTTTCTTTGGCCTTTTTCCTATAAGTGTCCCGTTTTGGGTACTGTCCCGTTTTGGGTACAGTGACGGTAGACTAGGGCCACCAAACAGCTAGTTCTGCAGTAAGGCTATGTGTTCAAGTCATTTCCGTAAAACGTATGTCTGTCATGAAAATGTGAAACATGTACCATAATTAAATACATTGCATAAAATGTATATGTTATGTCAACGCCGTTTAAACATTTCAAAGAATAATGAAATTAATGAAAAAAACTTACCCGTGCATCCGTTTATTCACTTTTATCGAGAAAAATGTAAGAATATTAACTGAGCACAAAGCCAACAAGGCTGGCTGAGGTCGGAAAAAAGTATGCAAAACAAGTGAGATTTTAGCTGTACACCATTCAAAACGGCTTGACTTGTGTCAATAGCTATGTTAGCTTCCTGAATTATTGTAAAATATCCAATGAAAATACATGCAATAATTCTTGAGATTTGAAGCATTTTCTTACATTTTCTCGATAAAAGTGAAAACACGGATACTTCAGGAATGCATGTACAGGTAAGTTTTTTCATGAAATAAAATATTTAATGCAATTTTGCGCCACTCAAATTCTGACTTTAAAAGTTGAAAAGGGTGTGTCTACCTTCGACCAATGAAATCATTTACCAGAATTCTGGTAAGCCTCGTTATGACTTCACAAAACGATATCATAGGGTGTGAGTAGCCCGAGTTTCCTCTGGCCAGACATCTATCTGTCAAAATGTCTAAAAGTATGGTGTCACTGTCAGGGCCAGAGGAAACTCGGCTAAGGGTTTGACCAGAATCTCCGTTCGGCATAGCTTGCGCAGACAACACGAGTCTGGCTGAACGAGACTAGGCCAGACCGGGGTTCGAACCCGGGACCCTTCGAACTCTAGACAGACGCTCTACCAATTGAACTACCCTGTCACCGACGATCGGCCCGCTCTTATTCTGCTACGTTCCCCCCTCCTTCAACGAAGTATTCGACACGAGACCCTATACCACCTCTATGGGTATATTTCGTTGGGCGCAAAATGTAACAGGAGCGGGAAAATGCACGGCCAGACCGGGGTTCGGACCCGGGACCCTCTGAACTCTAGACAGACGCTCTACCAATTGAGCTACCTGGTCGCCGACGATCGACCCGGTCTAATTCCGCTACACTTCTTTTAATAAAGTTACTATGAACTGCTTAACATTTTAAAGATGTTGTGGGCACGTTTCAGAGTGAATAACGCAAACATGTATAATAACCATAAACATGTGAAAGAGATTCAATAGGGATAGACTTCTCTATATATGTGAAAATTCTTCTGACATAGCTGAATAACGTCTATCGTATAACATATTATAAGTCACGGATGAGTGGTTGCGAAATGTTGTTTGGCATGACCTTTTTCCGCGATTGTTAAGGATATTGAAAAATAAGAGGTATTTTTACAGTGTTTTTAAAGATATGACATCAGATCACATGGTGTCAGAAGCCGGCTTAGGACCAGAAGCATTTCTTCCAAACGGTAATGTTTTCATTCCATCTGCTAAATCGTCTGATGTTAACTCAAATCCCTGTGCTAGACGGAGAGGTCGACAGCCGAGTTTTACATCCAGATCCATTGAAGAAAATAGTGTACAGAGTTACCTTGCCACAGCATCAGGAAACATAGTTTACGGGTTGTCTCCCATGGTGAGTAATGTTGTTTTTACCTAATCGTAATTCTAGTCATTTCATTGAATTGTTCTAATGATGTCCTAATTGCACGTTCGATCAAATTGACATATTAGTGTTTTATTTCTCTAACTTATGCGACGCTATTTCATGTGTTCCGTGATAGCCTGACCAATCCACCAAAGCGGATTTCCACCCCGACAACAACACTATCAGTGATCAGACACAGTTTTCACATGGAGATCCAGTGCCAGGTTATTTTGATACAGACGCCAGCTGTCACCAAAGATCCAATCTTTGTCACCATATTGGTAATGGTATTAACGAACACAGTATGGTCAGTATGAACTCTGAACCGACAGAAAATTTGGCGCAAACAAGTTCTACTCAAGCCAGCTATGAGGCAAGAATGGACCATTTCGTTCATGAGGCTGGTCAGTTTTCCACAGAGTCCGAAAGTGAGCGAGATGTGGGGTTTTCTGGCCACAGCACCAGTAGTAGTTGTCAGTTGGAAACAAGTCCCACAGATCAAGAGGTATTATTAAACCTATAGTACAATGTAAAATCTTCTATACTTAATAGAAAATTAAATCTCCTTCTCGGCAACAGTGACATCAATGGCTAAACCGCCAATACTTTACAACCAAATCAAATTCAAGAGATGCAATTTAGTAACCGGATCTTGCCTGGCATTAAAATACCATTATCCCACATAACTGAAGCTGTCCTCATATAAAACCAGAAATCTATTCTTAAAAAGATTATTCTTAAAAAAAAATGCCTACCCGATAGCTATCTTAGTCCAGTTTTGTTTTTCGTTGGTATTAACCACGTGGTACAAATGTATGTGACTGATAAGTATGGAGCACATAACTTTTTTACAATCATTGTCTGTTGACAAGCAGGTCGGTAGTGCTTGGAACAATTTTCCTATCGATTGGTCAGACGCAGAAGCAGATATTTGTCTGCATGGAAACAACAAAATTGATGATCTCATATATCATTTTGGTGAGTAACTATTTAGACATGTAAATATTCAGCAGATAAGATTAGCATTCAAACATGAAGGGAAAAAACATTATTTAACAAGAGTTATTTAACAAGAGCATCATACTATAAATGCGAAAGCAGTATAAACTGTCTTTAACAATATGTTGCAGATAAGTTTTTCCGTGGACAGATAGACAATAAACTTAGCGAGATGGGCGATTTTATACACTCTTTGATGACGGAGCAGCAGACCCACGTGAGATATATTGTCAACACGGCGGTCACAAACAGTCAGGTAACGTCACCTCAATATTGTTATATTCTAGATGACTAGTATTATACCATTTCTCTGCAAAATGACAATTGTTTTGCTGATTTCATGTTAATAATAGAATATAGGCATCCTTACATTTTAGTACAAGGTATTATCATTAAAAGTTTCTATCTAGAGTTGGTAAATAGTCGTGCATTGATTATAGGATTGTGAGAAATTCCAGATATTGTTGCAAAAAAAATCTGATATTTTACACGGTGCTCTATTTATAACGTTTTCGTTCAGAAAGAAAACCCCTTCCTTGATAATATTGTCGAAACAGAATTAAAAGTTAGATAGACAACATAATCGTGCGCTGCTGAAGGTGTGTCATCCATGATTCTTCAACATGGCAGAGACACTTTTGTACCTGTCACCCAATGCTTAACTTACAGCTCTCGGTTGAACCGTTTTCAGTTTCTTGATTTTGGCTTCAATGCACACTCAACAGATTCTTATTCAACAACAAATCGCACCGATGTCATCCTTGAAATTTCTGGGTTTTGTTGTTTGGAGTTACTCCCGCTGTCATGTACGAATTACCGTCTCCTATTTTCCCCGGCGTGCTGCTGCTAAACGTATAACTGCTGGTTCATCAGAACCCATGGACCTATCCTTCTTTTCAAGTTCCTCCGTCTCCAGGATAAATCGCGCTTCCATGAAAAAAAATTAACACATATTGTGATTGGTGGCCGGTTTCAAACGATCCTTAAGAGGTTTTTGTGTGAAGTAAGTAGGTCGTGAACATATCCCAATGGGATACTTAGTCAGTAGCCCTCCATGTTGCAGATGCCATCTTATGTCGGATCCAACTGTTTTCCCAGAGGAGCCAGATTCTCTCCTTTCAAAGACAGAAGTTTCCGTCGAAAAATCTCTTGTTCTAAAAAGAAGTTATGCAGTAAAAAGAGAACATATTTTGAATCATTTCAGACTTGGGTATCTGTTGAAAAGGACACAACACTTGGATCTCCTGTCCGAAAAATGACCCGCCTCTCCAGCGGTGAAACAGGACCGGATAGTCTAGCGGTTACATCACCTATCACAGACCACGTAGATTTGTCTGATGGTCAGTATGTAAACCATTACATTTATAAATATTTCCAAATCGTGAAGTGGGTTTCAAGCTTACACACTTGAAAATTGACCAATATTGTGAAGAGGTAGGTTTCTAGTTCTTCACCTTGTGTGTGCTAGAGCTATTATAGCTATATGTTTATAGGTTTATGCACGTAATATGTACTATAACATGTATCAATGTTATCTGTATGGGTTTATTACCTCTTATCTGAAAGATAATTTCCGAAAGAAAATGCCGTGTCCTCGATTGCACGAGAAAAACATGGAAAGCAACACGTCAGTTGATATTCAGTCAGTGGGAGTTATCGCCCTTAACACCTACATGTGCGTTATACCTTGGGTCATCAGATTTTGTTTTATTGTATGACATAGAAGTGTCGTGGTAGGCGACATTTATTGTATCAGGACAAGACAATGTGTTGCGGTAACAAATATAAACTACTTGGCAATATATATATAATCCACATTTTTAGCGCAAAGTTACACAGACAAGTAACAGTGCAGTTGTGTAGGAATCAGTATGTATTGGAGTGGTCCGTTTTTCGTGTTAAACAGACTTGTTAAGAGACAACTATATAAATAACAATGTATGTAGCATTCCTGTTCCAGATGCGATGACACCACAGTTTCTGGACAAATCGGCACAAGTGTAAGTTTCCATTAGGCTGAGTTTCTATGCATTTCATTAAGTTTCGTTCTGTTAACTGTCCATTGCATCTCTGTTGAATTATTCATATCTCGGCGAGAACCTATGTGACTGTCAAATATCAGATGTTACTGGAAGATTCAAGCCCACCAGGGAGTACATATCAATCAGACTTACAGTTTAAGTTAATACCAAAGTTCATTCCAAGAAAGTTCGATCGCAAATAATGGATTATATAGCACTTTTGTCATTTGACAGTATAGTAGGCAAGTGTTGAGCATCAAACGAAAATGGCTAGGTTTTGACTTTTACCTATTTATACACCTCAAAGACCAATGGGTTACGTAGATATAATAATGTTCCTGACAGTGAGCTAAAATTTCACAGATTAATACAAAAGCCATGCAGGCCCATGCCTGTTCATTACAATTAAGAAATGTTCCTCGTCGGAAGATGAAGGTCACACACACAAATGTGGTTAGACATGCTCCCCGGCGGAATCGAATCTTCCCTAAGCACCCAGTGGTCAAAGTGTTTGAGCAACGTTTCTTTAGCCCAATCGGTAGAGCGCTGAACTGGCAATCCCGTGGTCTTTGTTTCGAATCCTTGGTAGCATGACTAACAAATAATAACTAAATAAAAAGATTTTCAGGATTACTTCAGAAGATTCTATATGTGGCATTGACATTTGTAACCCAACTGCCCGAAGGTCAACTAAGTATATGCCCTGACGAGTCTGTCATCCGTCGTCAGCATTTTTCTGTAAGCGACTTCTACTGAAAAACCCAGCGGTGAAGGTCATGATTTGTGGTCAGTAGCATGCTAAGGTGATGGGCTATCAATGTTGTTCATATGAATGACCTTGACACACTTTCAAAGTCAAAGGAGTCAAGTGTGTCAAAATATTTTTCTGCATAGCCAAGATGTCTATGGTCATGATAGTTTGCTGGTTGTATGCTGAGATTAAGGGCTATGGAAATTTTTTAAACTGAATGACGTTTTAAAATAAGGTTGTTTTCAAAGTAGCATATGTCAAATATATCCGTGCGGGGGCGGTGACATTTCGCCAGTAGCATGGTGGTACAACATGCTGTCAAGTTTCAAATGCCCTTGGCCTATTTTCTTGGTTAGGTAAATTAAATGTGTTGAACAAACTTTACGGTTTTCACATATGTCCTCAATGCATAGAAAGAAATATTTGGCATATTGCATGATGGGATAACACTCAACGCTGCTTGCTGTCAAGTTTGTTTATTATAACGTCATGAGATGTGTTTGCCAACAGCATTGAATAACATTTGTGCGATACGTATACACTGGACCTCTTGTCAACTGCCTTTCTTCGTTTTTTGCGTTACATGTATATATAAATATTATCGTTAAATAGCAATGCTTCCTTTGGTTAAACCATTGCGTGCATTTTAGCGACGTTAATGTAATGTCGATTACGGCAAGTGACCAAAGGTAATATTGTATTAGATCCAGAACATAACATGCCTTTTCCCATATCACAACCTGTATATGAGCTCAAGACCACAATATCCGCGCGATAGCCACTCGGGCTTGTACCGATATGATATGTTAAAAAGTCAGGTTATGTCATATTGTGACACCAGCATGTATTTGCTGTTCTGAAGCAGTATCATGCGATAAAGGAGGTTCATGAGGTTTGCAAAATGGACCTGTGATACAGAGTAAAACGAGGACTGATAGAGCCATTAAATGGTAAAGCAACTAAATGGCACAACTTAGCAACCATAACTTATAGTACCCAATGCTAGTGACTGGGCACTACCATTTGTATCAACCAAAGCGCATGATAAAACTCACAATTTCTCTCATATAAGGCCGTTTCATTCTGACATGAAGCTAACTGTCGTTACACGATTCTCTATTTTTTTTCTTTTCTCGTCGTTAGAGATGATGAGAGAACCAGACTACTACTTAAGATCCTAGCTACGTCCTGTGCTGTAGGAGGGGTGTTACTTCGTCCAGAGTTCCACGCGTGAGGAAGTCCTGTTTGGTGAATTACTATAGTCGTGATGAAGGCTTGACCACTTTTCTTGCTGTAGGAAATGTGTTTGACACATGAGTACATGCCATGTTTTTACAATACAACAGGACTTCAGTCCTACGACCAGTACTGATGACAAGGAAATATAATTGAAGATGTCACATGCATGTTCCGTGAATATTATGGTTTGAAATCAAAAGTGTTTATATTTTGACCGTAGGGCCATGCGAGCTTATGCCGTGGAGCGGCGTCCGTCGTCCGTCGTCCGTCGTCCGTCGTCCGTCCGGCGTCAACTTTTCCATTTAAACGCTGATTAACCAGAAGGCCCAGAAGCGTGGTATTTGGCTGACAGGTTCCTAGGATGAAGCCTGACAAAGTTTGCGAAAAGAAATGACCTTGACCAATATTCAAGGTCATAGGGGTCAAATTTGTTAAAACTTTTAAACGACTTCTCTTGATTAATTGAAAGGCCCGGAATAATGATCTTTGGCTGAAAGGGAAATGAGATGAAGCCCGACAAAGTTTGCAAGAAGAAATGACCTTGACCTGTATTCAAGGTCATAGGGTCAAATTTGTTAAACCTTTAAACGACTTCTTCTGATTAACCAAAAGGCCCAGAAGCGTGATATTTGGCTGATAGGTTCTTCTTATACAGGATGAAGCCCGACAAATTTTGATAAAAGAAATGCCCTTGACCTATAGTCAAGGTTGCAGGGGTCAAATTTGTTTAAAATCTTTAAACCACTTCTGAATAACCATGAGGCCCATGATGTTTTAAAATATTTAACCAGTAGCATGATTGGATGAAGGGTTATCAAGCTTTTTCATTTGAATGACCTTGATCCACTTTCAAGGTCACATTTGGTCAAATATGTATAAACATAAAAAATGATCTTATTTCAATAAACAAAGGGATAAGGTGGTGATATTTTTCAAGTTGCATCCTGAGATGAAGGGCTATAAAATGTGTTCAACTTAATTACCTTGTTCGACTTTCAAGGTCACAGGGGTTATATGTTTTGGAATCTTTTAACAGGTTCTGTTGAATGAATTTTAATCATGAATCTCAGATCACTTTTAAGGTTACAAGTGTGTGATTAATACCAGGTGAGCGATACAGGCCCATCGGGCCTCTTGTTAACTACGTGCAATATTGTTGTCACTGTTAAATGTATAGAAAAACCTCGCTATACTGCCATCTTTGGCCAGCGAATATTGGCGTTAAAAGTGTTTATTATATATCGAGGGAGACGTACACAGGAGGCGCTAATAAAAGGAACTGGAGAACTTGAGATATTTCGGTGGTGATCGAGGTGACATGGAATGAGGGACATTATATCGAGGTTTTTACTCTGCTACCTATACCATGTCAAACTTTGAGTTAGTTAGAGTGCTGTCCCCTCTATCATGTAGCGTTATCCTGTGTCAAAATTAAAGTTCAACGTAGTTCGTGTTTACTGGAGTCTTAGTGTAGTAAATATAGAGATAGTGTGTCCCAGCCGTTCCTCGGTATGGTGTTAATGAGTATGTACTTGTTCAATTATACTATGCTTCGTTGGTGGGCATGCACTCAGCAGTACATTTGTAAATAAATAAATATCAAGAGACTAGGGCCCACTTGTATAAAACATCTCAAAGTTAAGGAAAATCTCAAGCAATGTATTGTCTATGGGAAATCTTAGACTTGAGGAAATTTCAAGAGTTGAGATGTTTTATACAAGTGGGCCCTAGGACTGCAAAATGTTGTTTGTCAATATATGTCAAAAGACAAAATCAATTGGTATACATTTCAAGTCAAGATTGAACACCGAGATACTTGTATCGGGGTACAATCCAGTACAATTTTAAAGGATGGCGACACTGAATACACCTACATATATTTGAATTTGTTTACATTGAAAAAAATGTTTTTAATAATCCCTTAAATTTCAAACTAGCTTTGCCAAATTCTAGTTTAATTGTTCAATGTTTATCAGTTCGATTCACGAGTTATACTCGGGCTACAGCGTGTGCAGTAATGAAATAATTCGCGTTGTCAGCTGAACATGGTGTAATGTCATTCTAATGTCTCATTGACAAAAGTGTTAACTATTTTGTTTGTTTGTTATTTTCGAAATTTTTAACTCTAGTTTTGGAAATACATCTGGATGCGGTTACTCAACTAGTACAGAAGAAAATCGCTATTCGCCTATCGGTCCAGTAGCACTTATGTCCGGGCTGTGACCCTCCGTATCAATGGGCTGGAAATCATGACGGGGAGTCACACAAGTGCACCAAACCCAAATGTAATTAGCTTCATTTTGTAGACTAGTGATAAAAGTGGCACTTCTATCTGTGTTAGCTCGCCTACACAGCTGTCGGTCCCACAGGCAGTGGGTTCAGTAATTAGCTCAGGTAGCGATAGGCCTGAAAACAATTAATCAATTAATGTGATTTACGTACCTTGTCGCGGACATCGTATTTAACAAAGTAACAGACATTTTTTGTTCTGATTTATATTATACATAAAATTTTGATTCTGTTAGCCATGCTAAGCTACCCCCCCCCCCCCCCCCCCCCCTAAGTTTTATGAGCGGTAAACATGACGCATATATTGATCCACAGTCCCTGTGATTGGAAGTACTAGTTCGTTTATAATAAGTAAGCTACACCGACCAATTAATTAAGTGTCTGCATTGGAAGACGGCTGGATTATTGGGACACTTTTGTATAAAAAAATAATCTCCTAACACACTGGCTGGTAACAGGATTTGTGATGATGTAGTTAACGAATCGGCTATATTTTATTACTGTATGCCTACATTGTACGTCCACATTCAATAGTGCATTTTAGTGTATGTAAGCAGATTGAGACAACTGGCATGTTTGGAATTTGATTAAAGATGTATGTTTTGAATTTGGTTTAAATATGTTTTCCGAATCATAAAAACAAATTCTTCAATAAAACAAATCATGAGTTGAAACAAACAAGAGGTATTGTTACGTGTATAGGTAAACACCAGAAAACATACCTGATCACCTATGCATTTAATTTACGTTACCTAGCTAAAGTTATGCGAAAGGTCAACGGGTTCTAAGGAAACACTCCCGTCTTTAAATTTCCGCCGGTATATTTGAGTACATTCGTTTCCCCTTCTTACACATTTGTTTAAACGTTATAAACATTACATGTCAATGTATCTGCTCAATGTCAAATTCCATTACTTCGTTATCAGTGCATGGGAGTGGAGTAACAGGTACAAATTAAAGTAGGTGTCAATACCAAGTCACTTCACAAGACCAAGATGCACTCCAAATCGCTTATATAATTCAACAAATTATCAAAATGTAAAAGAACTTAACAACCGACGTTCCTTGATCTGACATGTCCATTTGAAAATTAGGTACATCTTATAAGACGTTACTTAATCTGTATACGAGTCTATTTATACCAAGTTAGAGAAAAACAACAGTTTACTCCGGTTACACGTGGTGTGGGGGCGTGGCCCCTCCCACATGTACACCGAGTTCTTTCTCGGGACAAACGAAAAACATATCAAGGTCGCTGCCCACACAAAACTATCTGATTGTGTAGAATTAATCTCCGAACTTTTATAGTAGCTGAGTTAAACACTTCTGGTCGGTGAACCTGATACTAACGGGTTTTGACACTTGACGTAGCTATAGACTCTGGGTTCATCGAGTACATCGTACGCGCAAGTTACAAACTCCCCTACATGTATAAACTCACTGGTGGCCAAAGTACAAAAATAGCGTGGGGTTATACTTACAGTTATCTCTAAGTCTATGTCGTCAGTTACGTTATTGACCTCGAAAAACCACAGCGATATCTGGCAGTTGAAATACACGTGACCGCGGTATGTTTACAAATTCTGAAACTCCCAGAAAACAGATCGTCAAGCCTCACGAGTAATATGTAAATCATACAAAATCTTCCATTGAGGAAAAAAACTTAAAAACGTGAATTAATCACCAATCGACGGTAATATTCCACAAAGTAGAGTGCATTTCTTCGTCCAACACTGCAGCCTGTTTGTTTACATCGCGTGACCTTCATTCCACTGGGATAGTCCTGTGACGTCACCACGTGTTTTCTATGCCAGGTCGTGTGTAATTCCTTTAGTACGCAGTGACTTTTTTTTGTAAACAGCTGATTCACTACAGAATATATTAACACAGATCTCCTTGACATTGCCCGTTGTACAGATATGATATGTGGTAAATCAGGACCTACGAGAAACGTTTTGCTAGCTTGTGAACATTTTTCTTGTTTTCTTGTTAGATAAGTAATTGTAACGTACATGTAATTCTTGTAGATTTTAATATCTGTTATTTTTGGAGTATTTTACAGAACACATGTTTGTGACCGTGTTATGTGTGTATGTAAACTTACGTAGTCCAGCATCATCGGTACTCCGGGGGTTAAGCCCACTCTAATTCGCTTTGGAGTATCGAGAATGCATGGTAGTCCGGACATCTTGGTTGTGTAGGGTGGAACATTTGTGTGCGGACATTGCATTGTCACTTTTCAGCGTGTGTGAAATGTACACTGTAACCTCAATAGTCGGGCACTATCGTTTTAATTCATGACATTTTCATAAGTATCATATAAAACTTAGAATATAATACTGCATATCCTTGGTTTCAAAATAATCGCCTTTTTTTTTACTATGATTTTTTTTAACCTGCAGATAAACTTCATAATCTCATAATTTTTATGAGAAAAAGACTGGTATAACGGTGAGACATTGTTGTAGTTAGTAAAGGCACGCCCTCGATCCCGATGACATGTACTATTGTCATAGGAAGTTGCTCGGATTAAGTGAACCCGGATGTTTTTGTTGTGGCGCGATAACACATTTAGTATTACATATGTTCCGAAACGTCATTCGATTCATAAGTTAACTTTACCAAAATTACATTAAAACGTTTCTAGCAATTGTAAACAGTTTTGTTCGGTGTGTCCTTGTTGCTGAAATATCAGCATCTTCTCCACAGACCATTTACGATTCTTGAAGCGTAATCTTGTAAACTTTTCCCCAGCCATTGGAAATGTTCTGTTTGTGTTGACATACTACATCGTTTTGTTTGTAAGAGTTTAATTTCATTACTTCAGCTGAATGCGTACTGGTTCAATTTGAAAATGTTTTTCACCATCACATATCATTGAACACATCGTTAAAGTATCCATTTCATGGTCAGGACTTTGTCCAGTTCCCAAATCGATTTCCACAATCGTCGTGAGGGTAATTTTCATTTTTTTTTTTATCAAAATACAAAAGAAACATATATCAGGAACGACCAGTGCCCAACAAACTAAAATGTCGCCCATGGTAATGTATATGGTACATTCACTTTATCAAGGGAGACAAAAAGAAGAAAAGATATCGTGTCGATAATAATTCGTTTGTATTACTTACATTACGTTACCTTCTTGAACCCCTACAATAATAAAATTGCAGATACAAAAATAAATAAAGTATACACAATATGAACTCGGCAAATGTGTTCTAGACTCCAGGGTAGCGACGCCTTAGTATGTAGTATATATACATTATTAAAGTGTAATGTTCCTGCTTCTGCTCGACTCATTAGAGCAGAGCAATAGAACGTTATATAGCGGATCTATAGCCTATCCTTGCTTTCCGGATAGTGGAGGAGGGACATCGGGTATTATATGTCTAATCCAGCGACCTTTACTGTACACTTATGTCAAATCACACGATGTTTTCTAAGCGATGTAAACCAGACGAGGCTGAAAGGTCAACGACCGGTAACAAAAGGTTATGAAAAAACGTGAAAGGGAAAGGCCACACGCTGATCGTGCCTCACTTGTCGCTCCGAGATCGCAGTCACGTCTTAGCAATTAGTTTCTATTGCGGCGTAATGATGCCCCTATCCCTTTTTGACCGTGTATAATCAGTGTTCCACAATGTCCGGTTCAGAAAGAGAGCCAGGTATCGACCTGGAGGTAATGTCTCTTCTGTGTCACATCAGCCTAGCCAATGACGACAACTTACAGGCTTTGTCACTGTAAAGTATAGTTCAGATATACAAGTATTGATCTCCTACCGTTGGTGCGTTGTCATCGAGATGAAATGAAGCGGAATGAGATTTGTCCATGGTCAAGGAGGCGACATTCTAATGGACTGACAAGTCGTTAAATCTGTTTCATTCATATCAAGTTATTTTTTATATACATATCCTATATTGCCATTTTGGACTATAAATTAATAAAACCTGATTGGTTGCAGCTGCATACATATTCAAATCATAAACCATATCGCTTTGTAAAACCATTCATGAAGACACATGAATATTCCACGGAGCTAATGGCATTCTCCGCCAAGTCATTCCTTTTCTAATGTAAATACCGTTTGACCCTGTACGGCGTTCTGATGAAGCCCACCAAAAAGACGGCGGATAGGAACGAGAAAAGCCACAAATTAACGGTGAAAGCGCAACCGGTTGATTTGCTGCTCATTGCCATGTTCCAGTCGTTTCAAGCGCCTAGAGTAGAAGTGAGCAGACCGGAGTAAGCGATAGAACATCGACTTGTAACATCGACCCTGATTTGCTGCTCATTGCCATGTTCCAGTCGTTTCAAGCGCCTAGAGTAAAAGTGAGCAGACCGGAGTAAGCGATAGAACATCGACTTGTAACATCGACCCTGTCTATAAATTACGTAAAGGACTACAAAAATGACTCGTTTGTAAATGCGCAGGCAGTCGATCGAACCTTATCATACAAGTATATTTGAATTTCGTTCGGAGAAGAATGTGTGTTATATTGAGTAGTAAGAATCAAACGTAGATTTTACCAGTAACAGGGACGGTTACAAATGTCCCCCAAACTGTCCATGCAGCCGCAAAAGAAAGCCCCAAACTGAACTAATCATTTATCGGTCAACTATTGAGACCTCAGCATCTTGAATACCTAAACATTTAATCGTCGATCATTCGATGTTACGTATAGCTTCTATGTACAATGAAGTCGAAAGAACTCGAGTTAAAACTGCAGTCGTTTCAGCCAATCAGAGGTCACTTCGGGCATTTTGCAAAAAAATGAAGATTTCGTTTTTTCATGCTTAAGGAGCAGAACATACACAACCTTTTCCGGATAGAATAAATGTGATAATCTGGATACGTCTCAGAGGCCAATGAAAAAAGCTTTCTAATTGTACCTCTACACATATAATTAACTAAAATGCTTTACATACAGAATGTTTAACAATTAGTCAGATCAAAAGTACATTATTTAACATATGGTAAGCATCTTCGCATTTAGTGGCAATGCTGATCATCACTTTGTATGAAATGTACATGACGATAGGCCAATTACAGAAAATTCCTGTTGTTCGTAAAAGTAAAGAAACTTAATTTAACGGATCAAAATCAGAAGTCTGGATTGAAAAACCAAATTAAAACGAATGTATGTTTATGTCTACCTGAACTCGACTAGCGATACACCTGATACACTATGTCACGATATTCTTGGATACATAGCTGGAATTCTGACTCTTACCTCAGTGATGTCTTCAAGGCTGATAGGGGATAACATGTGTCCTCAAATCTGTGATCTGTAACATACAGGTAACCTATGGGGAAATAGACTACTNTTGCTCAATTCTGAGTATTTTACTCCTTTTCTAATCACCAGTGTGGTGTGATATCTGCTGTGCAGAATTCAAAATCACTGAAGACAGATAGTTATTGTTTCAAAGATATCATAGACGTCCAGACTAGATGTTAATACAAAACGTTTCAAGGTTTTACATCTATGGTGGAAACTGCCATGTTTCGGATTTCTCAGTAGCATGCCTTTGCAGTGGCATTAAATACATTCCTGGTGTCATAGAACTGTCCATTGGAATATCAGCAACCATTGCAAGGACCTAGCACCGTTCTCTTAGGACCCCCAAACTGAGCGTGCTATCGTCAGATGTGGTTAGTCCTATTGTTGCCTGTTAGTCAAATATAAATGGATCCTACACAGGACATCACGTATTACTCTATATAAATACCGTCTAAACAGAATGTCGTGGAGCATAAAGTCAAAGGCGGTCCACAAGTTCAGAAGGACAAGCATTCCGAGATGTACAGCGATGAAGATGTTGTACGCGTAGGAGGATCCTTCTGGTAAACAGCTTGTTTGAATTGTATAATGAACCAAAAGTTGGAGAGGAGAAATAGAATTCCCTTAATTGTATTGAACGTAAATACATGTATAAGGAATGAAATGAGTATTATCAATATTTATGATTGGTCAAACCAAAGGTGCTTAAAAATACCTTTCCCAAGTTGTGCGTATTTTGAAATATGTAGTTTTTGTAAGCAATTTGATTGAATGATGATGGAAAAGGAACTTTAATCCTTAAATGAAGGATGTTCTTTGTGAAGATACATATTAGTTGTGGTGATATATAAATCATATTGTTTGTGGTGATATATAAATCATATTCTTTGTGGTGATATATAAATCATACTGTTTTTGGTGGTGTATAAATCATACTGATTGTGGTGATATATAAATCATATTCTTTGTGTTGATATATAAATCATATTCGTTTGTGGTGATATATAAATCATATTCTTAGTGGTGGTGTATAAATCATATTCTTCGTGGTGATATATAAATCATATTCTTTGTGGTGATATATAAATCATATTCTTTGTGGTGATATATAATTATGTTATTGTTGGTTATATATAAAGCATACTTTTTCTGTTGATATATAGATATGTCCTTCGTGATAATATGGTGTTTTTTTGTAGACCGGTGATGGATTTTGTGTTGAAATCCAAAGCATGTTCTTTTTGTTGATCAATGATGAAGATTATTTGTATGAAATATAGAGTATGTTCTTTGTGGTGAAATATAAAATATATTCTTTTTTGGAATATAAAGCATGTTCTTTGTGATGAAATATAATGCAAGATCTCAAATGGTAACATAAAGCATGTTCTAAGTAAGCAATATATCCTTTGCCTGAAATATAGAGAATATTCTTTGTGATGAACTATAAAGCATGCTCGGTGTATGTAATATAAAGCATGTTCGGTGTATGCAATATAAAGCATGTTCGGTGTATTAA